TGCCTGATTAGATCAGATAGGAGGCTGAAAACGAGCCTAGCTTGGTGGTAGCACCTGTAGTTCCACCTACTCAAGAGTCTGGAGCAGGAGAATTGTGTCAGCTGAGGAATTCAAGGCCAGCCTGGGCAATGTAATAAGACCCTGTCTCGAAAAAAGAAAACACACACCTGCAAATACCAGGAAGACTTTAAAAACAGGCTTACCTCCGCGCTCACTAACTGGAGCCTTGCCTAAGTACCCAGTGCGCTCAAGTGCTAGCTGACATGGGCAGGTTTCTTTCAATTCTAAGGCATCCTCACGCTGGGATGTGAGGTGAATGGTTTCTGTTGCCGGGCATGAGCAAACAGAAGCAGCTGGTCCTCTAGCAAGCGAATTGGAGGAAGCTAGGCTGGCACAGGGAGAGGAGTCGGGGTCCTTCTAGCAGTCCACAGGAGAGGTGATAGGGAGTAAACTGAGGCATTGAAAGGTCGACAAGTGTCGCTGCCTTGTGGAGAAGCCAGCAGATGGGAGGTGCTAGCTCCAGAGGTCATGGAGATGTACCATAGGAAACTGGATTCAGGGTTCTCAACTTAGATCTGAGGGTTTCAGGCATCCAAACAGGTGGGAGGCTTGGTGTTCACTTTGACTTTGAAGTTTGGCAGATCCAGCTCTTGAACACTGGCTTGGTCTGTGACTGGCCCTGTGACCTTGGGCAGATGACCTCGTGTGCCTTAATTTATATATAAAATGGGGGATAATAGAAGGACCTGCCTCAGAAGGTTGTAAAGACTAAATGAGAGCCTGTAAGAACACACAGCACCTAGCTCCTCGTAAACACCCAAGCCAAGGAGGTCAGAGTAAGTGAATAGTGGGTGAGGCCAGCAGAGAAGGATTTGGCTCCCCAAGGGAAGACGTGGGGAATGGAGTCACAGAGAGCTCAGAACACAGCCGCCGGAGGAGTTCCCAGTGTGAGGGAGGGCTGGGGATGTAGTTCAGTGGTGGCATGTGTGCCTATCATGCATGATGCCCTGGGTTCCATCTCCAGCAAGAAAAAGAAAGAAAGAAAAATTTAAAAAAAAAGAAGAAAGATTACCCAGGTTGATCCTTGAGTGATCCAAGTCCTGGCCTGAGTCAACAGGAAGAGAGGCGGCCACCTAACCTCACCAAGCAGGTAGAAGATTGAAGGGGGACATAGCTCTCTGTTCTGCTCTAAGAACAGGACACATTGTAATAGGGTCACATAGCTAGCTACCAGAGCTTTGTGGCTGATGCCAGCACCTCACACCCATTCTCCAGCTGGGCCTTTGGAGCCAGACTGCCTGGGTTGGCGGTCTATCTCTGACACTGACTGGCTGCGTGTCTCAGTGGTCTCCTCCATAAATGGGCATCTTTATAGCACCTACCAGTGTGCTTTCAAGGATACAATGACTTCATAGTAAAGCACTTAGAACAGTGCCTGGTGTATCATAAGCCCTAAAGTGCTAGCTTTTTGCAATTCATGTTTGCCCAGGGCAGAGCAGTGAGCAAGCTCTTTTTGGTTTGTTTCCTACATTGGTTTTTGCAGTACTGATGATTAAACTCAGGGTGCCCTGCCACTGAGCTACACCCCAACCCTTTTAGTTACTTACTTTGAGACAGGGTCTCTAAGTTGCCTAGGTTGGCCTTCAATTTACAGTCCTCCTGCCTCAGCCTCCTGAGTAGCTGGGATTACAGATGTGCACCACTGTGCCCAGCCCTGAATTTATAAAATAGATGCTGGTAGTGCAGAAGTCAAAGGAGCACAGCTTCACACACTCCCCGGTGCTAAACAGCATCCCCCACATCCCAGGGCAAACTCTCAATCACACTGCCTGCTTTTGCACTATCAATAAATGGAATCACGCAGCAGATACTCTTTCATGCACAGCTACTTTCACTCAGCATTTTCGAGATTATCCACGTTGCTTGTGGTTGTAGAGGGTTCTCAATGCTGTGCAGTGAACCATTGTGTAAATAAATACCTCGCTCACCCCACATTCTGCTTTGTGTGGGAGATTCAAGCTCTCTGAATACCACTGCCCGTTTACCTGGCAGCATTGATGGTGAGGGGTGCAGCTTAGAGCTGTCTCCAGACACAGCTGTTACCCATGAGCTTGTGGTCTGCAGGGACAGCTGACTCCTGGAGATGCACACAGCACTGGATGAGTCACTTTCAACTCTGCTTAACCAGGCCTCTGGGCTGAGTGGCCCCCGGGGCGTTCTAAGTGAGACTGCTCTGCTGCCTCTGGGGCTCCTTCAAGGAGATATGCAGAAACAGACGGCAGGCAGGCATTTAAGGGAAAGTGCTGCAGTCTGGAATGTTCTCTCCCCTGCTCCAGGACTAGGTGGTGCTGCTGGTGAACAGAGGCCAGAGCAAGATGGGTCAGTGGGACACAGGAGTCCCTGAGGGGGCAGGTCCTGGGCTCAACAACTCAGCTGGCTCCATCTTGGGGCCCCAGAACCTGCTCTTGCAGCAGCTGCTATGTCCCAGGGACCTTCCGGTGACCTCAGGAATCCTGCCTGATTGGGTTGAACTACAGTGTAGCCATCAAGAAGCAGACCCCCCACCCTGTGTCCTAGAGGAGGACCCCCAAAGATGAAAAAAGACAGGTCTCAAAGGATCATAGTGTCTCTGAGAGGAGGGAAGTCTGCTTTTTTTCCCATAGAAAAATGAATTTAAGGCATTGGGATTTTGTTTCAGAGTGTTGGTACCACTTTTCTTTTTTATTTTAGATTTTTAAAATATTTTTTAGTTGTAGATGGACACAATACCTTTACTTATTTATTTTTATGTGGTGCTGAGGATCAAACCGAGTGCCTCACCCGTGCTAGTGAGTGCTCTACCACTGAGCCACAACCCCAGCCCATATTTTATTTAAATTTTTAAAACAAATTTTATATTATTTTACTCATTTTATTATTTATTTATTTATAATGTATTATTAGTTTTATTTAATTTATTAAATTAATTAAACTTAATTTCTTATTTATTTATATTTTATTTTTTATTGTTTCAGTGTGTTGGACACCACCCTGTATTAATGCTATGCAGAGACACCTGTTCTGTCTTACTGGTGGGAATGTATATTAATACAATCTCCATGAGGGAAAATTTTGGTGTTTTAGTCAGCTTTTGTGTCACTGTAACCAAACTACCTGACAAGAACAACTTAGAGGAGGGAAAGTTTATTGTGGGCTCATGGTTTCAGAGGTCTCAGTCCATAGACTCTGGCTCCATTGGTCTGGCAGAAAGTGAGGCTGCACATCATGGGGGGAGGGCACAGCGGAGGGAAGCTGCTCAGCTCATGGCAGCAAGGAAGCCGAAGAGGGGGCCACTGGTAAGGGGCCACGGAAGATGCACCCTTCCAGGGCATGCCCTGGTTACCACCTCCTCCAGCCACAGTTTACCTGCCTGCAGTTACCACCCAAACTAAGACAGACTGATTAGGTTACACCTCTCACCATCTGATCATTTCATCTCTCAACACTTCTGCATCAACAGGAGCTTTGGGGAACACCTTATAACCAAACCATAATGTTTGGAAATCTTCAAAATTACAAACACATATAGCCTACAGTCCAGCAAGTCTACTTCTAGGAATTATTCCTACTTGGATACTGATGAAATTCCAGTGTTTTTTGTAATTTAAGCAAAGGATGAGATGAGGCAGCATCCTCATCTATCAATAGCTGGGTGAAGTAGCTCACGTCTGTAACCCCAACTACTGAGGAGGCTGAGGCAGTAGGATGGCAAGTTCCAGGCCTGCTTGGGTAACTTCGTGAGACTCTTGTCTCAAATTTTTTAAAAAGTCTGGGGTTATAGAGCTCAGAAGCAGAATGCTCCTGGGTTGAATCCCCAGCAACCACACACACACACAAAAACACACACAATTATATGTACCTATAGGTATATAGATACATACCAAGAAGTTGGTTAAATGATGGTGCATTAATTTGCTGGATTATCATGCAATTTAAAAACAAGGGAGTGAGGAGAGAGGGAAGTTTTCTATGTATTATAAAATCTCCAAATGAAATTGTTAGGTGAAAAAAAAGTAGTGAGATAAGATTCCACTTTTGCTAAAAGGAAAAAAAGATTCATTTTTATCTGAATGGATAACTCTGGAAAATGGGAAACCTCAAGGGGAAATTGAATAGCTGAGGGTCTTTTGTGAATTTTGAACTATGAAAATGTATTTCCTATTCTAAAATAAATGTTAATATTTTATTGGGGGTGGTGAGGGGATGGATCTCTATCTCAGAGGTAGAGTACTTGCCTAGCATGTACAAGGCCCTGAGTTCCATCCCCAGAACCTGAGTTCCATCCCCAGAACCATAAAATAGAAAGAAAGAATAAGGAGGAGGAGGAGGAGGAAGGAAGGAAGGAAGGAAGGAAGGAGAGAGGGAGATTTAAAACACATAAGTTAGGGAATTGGGGATTTATGGGGTCTGGTTTTGTTTCGTAACTATAAGAGAGTACACAGCCATTATACCAGTTCAAGATGCACCATTCAAAGCGAAATTTTGGATAAATTATAGTTCACAATGGAAAAGAACAAACTAATAATACTCATGGAGCATTCCCTGCATACCAGGGTCACTTGGTCCCAGCCTCCCAGACCCAGGAGAAGTAGGAAGCCCCACACAGTTTCACTCTGCCCTCCCCAGCCAGGCGAACAAACAGGCAGAAGCAAAGGTGGGCCCCTCAGTCTGGCACGGTGCCAGGCTGGCCTGGCTGGGAGCAGGCCCAGCAAGGTTGCCCTGTCCATGGCCTTAATCTACAGAGTCTCCTCTTTCGCAGGTGCTTCTGCTCCATTGTTGGCTGAGGGGGGTCAGGACTCACTGTCTCCTGCATTATTGATGCTCTAAGTGGAGAGCCCTTAGCCTCGCCAGAACACAGCTGGGTGGTAAGCTGCTGCAGCCCAAGGGCACCCTGAAGCAGTCAGACCCCTAAAAGGAAAAAGAACYTGGGAAGTGTGAAGGTTGTCTTCTCTGGGACTATTATGGGTGGGAGCAAGAACAAAGCGCCTCAGCGCAGGGCGAGACCTGGGAGGCCAGCCTCAGGGGAGCAGGAGTCCGGATCGGCTATTGCTGATAGCGCACTTAGCCAGGACCACCGACCTGGCCGCAGCAAAGCCCTCCGGGCGAGACCCTCCAAGGAGCCCGACTCCGTAGGGAACAAGAGACTCGCTAGTGGCCACAGGAAGCCGGCCACAGACGGGAACGGTGGCTGCAGAAAGCCAGGTGCTGAGCCACCACCGGAGGCACAGGAGAGGCAAGGCAGCACGCGGCATAGGGGATCCGGGCCCTTGGAGAGTCACCGACCAGGGGACAGCCGTGGGGAGCGCCAGGATGAGGAGAGTCTACCGGAAGAAGAGGGTACAGCCCAGCGCCGCCGTCGCCGCAAGAGGAAAGGAAAAGGGCAGGGACCCTTGGCTCAGCCCGGCCGCGGAGAGGCTCGGAGCCGCGAAAGTGAACCACCGGGAGGGGACCTAGGCAGCTCTTGCCGGGACAGCGAAGCTCAAGAGTCCCAGGAGACGAGCAGCCAGGGCAAGGGGACCTTGCAGCTGCGGACTAAGTCAGAGCCAACGGAAATGGGCCCGGAAGGGAACAAAATATGGCCAGAGTCAGCGCTGCATCCAGGCGAATGCCAGACCAGCAACAGTCAGGGCAGTGACGATCCCTCAGCTCAGCTTCTGCATGAGGAAGTGTCGTCGGGGACAGGGCCCCAGGGAGCGAGTGAGGATTCTGGGACAAATACGGACTTGAGTCCGGAGGGGACCGGGCCTGGACCGCGCCCACCGGCACCCCTGGGGACAGCAAGCTGGGTCCCTGATGCCCAAGAGATCGACCTGGGTGGAAAAGCCACGGCATGCAGCTCCCTCGAGCGCAGTTGTGCGCACGTCCCTGGGAACTCGTGGGATTCTCCAGACCCCAYGTTTTCTCCGGACTCAAGTGACGGCTGGGCGCAGCAGGAGGCGGAGCTGCAGGACGCCCAGCCTGAAACAGTCGAGGCCCCTGCGGCCCGGGCTCAGCGCCTCCAGACTGGAAAGGTGGCGGGGAAGCTGCAGGTGGCAGAGGACCAGAGCGAAGCGGCGTCGGAAAAGGGGGCAGGTCCAGAGGGCCCAGCGCCACTGGCCACCCTCACGGTGCTCCGTAAGCTCCGCGCGAGGCCCACTCCAGGCCCCTCTCCCCAGGCCTCAGGGTCGGGTGGCGCGGGCCTCAAGGAGCGCCTTCTGCGTGTGGTTCGGGCCCTGGGCCTGCTGCAGTGGCTGCTGCGCCGGCTACGGCAGCCTCGGGCCCGGGAGCCTGAGGCGGAGCCTCGGGAGGGCGAGGGGCGGGGCCGCGGGCCTGGACGGAGGCGCCGTCTGGCGTTGCGCCTGGCGGGCTTAGCGGGGTGGAGAGCGTCGCCGAGGCCTCCACCTGGCGGTGGCAGGAGCYCTCCACGGGGTCGGGATAGCCCAGCCCCGGAGGACCCTTCCGACGATGAGGACCCCACTCCGGATCCCAAGTTCGCAGTTGTGTTCCCCAGGATGCACAGGGAGGGGAGGGCTTCGAGCAGCTGGAGCTCAGGGGAAGTCTCCGCGGACGCCCACACCGGGGAGGCTGCCCGGGAGAGTGAGAGACACGTGGCTAGTGGAGAAGGAGCGGTCGGGCCCTGCCCCGCCGTCTTCCTCGCGCAGCCTACCCCAGACTCGACTCCACTCGAGGAGAACGGCTCCAGCAGCGAAGCGGAGCCAGAGACCTTGGAAGCCGAGACCCCGGTGCACTGGGCGCGGGACTCAGGCCCCCACCAGGACCCTGGGTTGGGCACCAGCGCGCTGCTGCCCCGACTCACCTTGGAGACCCGCCTGGAGCGCGACAGGAGCTCCTGCTGGTCCCTGAGAGAGCAGTGGGAGCCCGAGGATGAGGCCGAGGCAGCGCTGGAGAGGGACCTGGAGCTGAGCCTTGGGCCTGACCTGAAGGCATCCTTCCTGGGTACTGGGGGTAGGAGCCTCAGAGATGGCCTGGAAGACACTGAGGACCTGGCCCGGCTGGGGTGAGCAGCACAGTTCCAAATCGGCCATCCCTGCCTGGCGGTTTCTTATACGCCACCTACACTGATCTTTATAAACTGAATAGACTTCCATAGGATCCTTAGAAAGATTTTTTGCCCCACAAAAGGTTTTCTGACTAGAGGGAGCTGGTGAGGAGTCCCTTCCTGGGACTTCCTCTTGTAATGGGCACAAAGCTTCCCTTTCAGGGGCCTGTTCCTTGTCTACCCCCATAGATTGGTCATTTACTGAATAGACCCTCCCTCTTTGTGGTTAAGGCTCTAAAAAGTTGGGTAACTTGCCCCAAGTGTCCCTGAAGCTCCTGGCACAGCTAGGCCAGGACCTCCTTCATCTCCCAGCTCCTCCCTTCCACCCTGCTGTCCCCACAGGTTGGTGTGTGACAGCTCTGTGCTGCTGTGCCTCAAGAAGAGATTTCACCTGGGCCGCATCTATGTATGGGGGCTTACAAGGAGCGGRTGGTGTGCTGGGTTCCCTTTCCCCTGGGAATAGAGGGCTCCTGGGCATCCCAAGGCTTCTCCTTCCTCTTTGTGCCTGGGCTGGGTGGTGAGCCTCTGTCTGGGGTCCTACAGAGCAGCGTGGGGCCCAGCTGGGAAGCGCTGAATAACCCCCACTTGCATTCCTCCTGCTGCCTCCACGCACCAATAACAACTTCTGCTTCCTTCCCCAGACATTTGGGGGGCCCCTCCTGGTGGCTCTGAATCCCCACCGGCCCCTGCCTCTCTTCTCATCTGAGATCTTAACCAGCTACCACCCTGGGAAGGCCCCCAATACCACCCCGTATGTGCCTTTGGTCTTTCAAATTTGTGTTTACCTCCCGGGTGGCTGGGCCCCGGCACCTCCCATTGACTGGCCCTGGGGCCTGTGGTCATGTCCCACCTATACCTAGGAGCACCCTAGAGGCCCATCTCTGGCAACCTTCCCGTCTTTCTGCCCTCCTTCCCCAGACACGTATTTGCCATTGTGGCAGCAGCCTATAGCCTATTTAAGAGCACCGGGCAGGACCTCTGCATCCTCCTCAGGTGAGTGCTGGCTGGCCTGCCTGAGCCCGCAGGCCTCCCTGAGGACTCGCAGGTGGGGCATGAGGTCTGGTGCACCACGGGGTGACAGCTCTGGACTTCACTGGGGTCTGCTCTTGAGGTCACCATATAGGCCCCTTTCTGTTTGACCTCCACGCCCTGCATTTATCCATGTTTCTGGGGTTCTCCAGTGTGTCACTTCCAAGTGGCACAGCCCCACTGTGCAGGTTCAGTGAGGCAGTCCCACAGTCTCCTTCCTGGAGAACCTCCTGGCCTCCACCYATCCCCAGCTCCTCCCTCCTGCAGTGGGCGCAGTGGCTCAGGGAAAACAGAAGCTGCCAAGAAGATTGTGCGGTTCCTGCGCAGCGTGGAGCAGCAGCAGGCAAGGGACAGAGGGTGCCAGGTGAGGCTGGGATGAAGCTGTCTCCCTCCAGGGGGCAACTGGCCACTTGCCAGGGGTCCAAGGTAGACCATCCCTTTCCTTTGGGCCAAAGGACAGTGGTCTTGCGTCTCTGGCTTCTCCCGGAGTTAGCTCCAGGCATTGCCTGCTGTGGGGGCTGGGGAGCTTTTCTGAGGGGTCTGACTCCCTCATGGGCCCAGCACAGCCAGCAGGMACAGGGAACCCTTGAGGCAGTACCAGTGTCATCCCAGAGATGCTCAAGCGCCCCTCCTCCCCACAGCTGGATGATGTGCTGCCTGTGCTCAGCAGTTTTGGCCATGCCAAGACTCTCCTCAATGCCAACGCCAGCCGCTTTGGCCAGGCCTTATGCTTCTGCCTGCAGCGGTGAGTGATGGGGGTCCATTGGCATCTGTAATGGGTTACCCTTACTGGGAGCCTGGGGCTGATGCCCTTGGTCCCAGCCTCTCGTGGGCCCATCCTAAGCAGGGCCCCAGTGTACAATGGGGGCACCCTAGCCTATCTCCTGTGCCCGCAGTGGTGTCATTGTGGGAGCCTCTGTGTCACATTATCTGCTTGAGACCTCCAGAGTGGTATTCCAGGTAAGGGTGCCCTCCTGTCTACCCCTTCCCAATTCCCAAAGTGAGGGGGCYGTGCCTCCAGGCGTCGTCCCACCTACGACAGTCTTCCCAAAGGCCCAGGCTGAGCGGAGCTTCCATGTCTTTTATGAGCTGCTGGCGGGGTTGGATCCCATGGAGCAGGAGCAGCTCTCCCTGCAAGGACCAGAAACCTACTACTATCTCAACCAGGTGAGGGTAAGGCTCCTGTGGTTCAGGGGCCAGRTCTCAGCCCAGGTGGGAGGAGTCGAGGGAGGCAGTGGGGGCCAGACCTGCCCCCTCAGCCCCTTTGTGCTTCACAGGGCCAGGCCTGCAGCCTCCAGGGCAAGGATGATGCCCTGGACTTCAGAGGGCTAGAGAAGGCCCTGCAGGTGCTGGGCTTGGGYCCCGAGGAATTGACTGCAATCTGGGCCGTGCTGGCCACTGTCCTGCACCTGGGAAACATCTGCTTTTCTTCTTCAGAGGTGGGCTTCCCCTGTGGGCAGGGCTAGTGGAGACGCTGATTAGCGGTAATTTTTTGCGCAGTCAGAACAATGAAAATGATGTCAAGCCCTCGTGTGTAGGAGCCTACAAAGCCCTGGGCTGTCCCTAAAGAGGGAGACAYCCATTGTTTTAGATGAGAAAATTGAGCCCTGGAGAGTCTACATTTTCCCAGTACCTGTTACACTCAGCTGCTGCCCATCAGTAGAGCACCTGCATTAACTGAGCAGTTATTTTGTGCCTAGCCCTGGGCAAGTCACTTGGCACATGTTGTCTAACTCAGTTCTCATAAAAACACCATGACCTAAGAGTTATTGTTTCCCCTTTGGCAATAAGGCAGTGGAGGCCCGGGAAGGGACGGGACTCACCAGAGCCACCCAGCTAGTAAGGAGGGAAAGCCAGGACTTGACTTGGGGCCCTCAGACTCAGGGCCTGGCTCACCGTGACCCAGATTTCCCCCACATGTTGTCATCCCTTTGGATGACGGCAGCTGAMGTGACAAGGAAATTCCTGTCCCTGCCCTGGGGAACAGGTCCATTTCATGAACAGAGTTCTCCCTGTCCTTTTCTCTGTCTAGTGGGAGTCCCAGGAGGTAGCTTCTGTGTCCAGCTGGGCTGAGATCCACACAGCAGCCCGGTTACTCCAGGTGCCACCAGAGCGCCTGGAAGGGGCTGTCACCAGGAGGGTCACGGTGAGTCCAAGGGTCCTGGGGAGGTGAGGGGACAAGCCAGGCCTCCTCCAGGCTGGGTGGTGCCTGATTGGGCCACTGGCCTGACATACCCCATGCACTTCCTCTGGCCTCCAGGAGACGTCCTATGGCCAGATCTCCAGGTCCTTGCCCGTGGAAAGTGCCATGGATGCCAGGTGGCCCTGGGGATGGGAGAACCAAGCCAGGCCTGTGCTCTGCTGCGTGTGGCTTACTCACTGTGCCCACAGGGATGCCCTGGCCAAGGCCCTGTACTCACAGCTCTTCAGCTGGCTTTTGAGGAGGATCAACTGGCAGCTGGCACCACCTGAGGAGGAAGGCAGCGTGGGCACCATCACTATTGTGGACGCCTATGGCTTTGAGGTCTCCCCCTTGGGAGGGCCCAGCACAGGGGATGCCCATCTCACACTGATATATTTCTTTTTAGTTATTGATGGACTTTATTTTATTCATTTATTTATATGCGGTGCTGAGAATCGAACCCAGTGCCGCCCACACGCTAGGCAAGCGCTCCGCCACTGAGCCACAGCCCAGCCTTCACACTGATATATTTCCGATCTGCCTGCCCACCTCACCCTGTGCCCTCGCTGGCCTTGTCTGCACCTGTTGGGTGGCTGCTCCAGGGACAGAGAGGAAAGGGCACAGGCCTGGACTCTGGGTGCGTTAGTCTGGTTGAGGGTGGCAGGGAACGCTCCATTCACCTCCAGCTGCCTGCTTTCCTGAAGAGCATGTCCTGCCACGCTYCTGGGTTGGCTTCCTACAGGGCTTCTCCTTTCTCCCCCATGGCTGCCCTCTGGGAGAGGCTGAGGCCCACCCCAATCTCCATGGCCAGCACATGCTGCCCTCCTTCTGTGGAGCAGAGGCTCGGGAAGCTCTGGAGCTCCTRGGTTTCAATCCTGTCACTCAATCCTTGACCTCATGCAGGTTGATTAACCTGTCTGAGGCCATGCTCCTGTCCATCCTGCCCCCCACAATATGTTCTTGGTGACTATCCCCACCTGTGAGGGGGGTGTGTGCTTACATGTGCTCTGTTTGGGGTGTACAACTGCATGAAGAGGGTCCTCTGCTGGGCTTGTAGTCAAGCACTGAGCTGCACAGAGGAAGGTACAGAGTCCCTTTGGGAGGAAGGCTGGAGGGCTTCCTAGAGGTGGCAGCCTGAAACTCTGCTGATGAAGATGTGGGATTCTGATAGCAAGCTAGGTGGTRGGCAAAGGCACTGTCTGGACCCAAGGATGGCTATGAGCAGAGCCTGAAGGCTCACAGTGGGCTGGAGCAGAGGCAAGGGTGTGGGCAGCTGGAGGGAGGCTGGCCTTGTGGCTGGGTCAGGGCTGAGGTGGGCTGTGTGTTGTGCTGTGTGTTGGACCCCATCCTATTGGCTGCAGCATCAATCCTGGGGCACCGTTTCTCCAAGCCCTGGAGAGGATGGGACAGCTCCTAGGGGAGGGAACAAAGGGCACAGGCCTGTGTGCAGCCCCCACCTGCGCTGGCCCCACCTGCTGTGTGTGCTCACCTCGCTGTCCCCGCTGTCCCCACTGTCCCCACTATCCCGTGCCCCAGGCGCTGCGGGTGAACACCCTGGAGCAGCTGTGCAACAACCTCGCCAGCGAGCGCCTGCAGCTCTTCTCCAGCCGAGTGCTGCTGGCCCAGGAGGAGGTAGGAGAGCTGAGCACAGACAGCACGGGTGCCAGGGCACTGCCCAGTGCAGAGGCCACCTTGGTAAAGGAAAGGTGATGCATGGAGAGCTTGCCCGAGTCCCCCTTTCATGGGATGGSTGGGTTCTTCTGAACAGTTCACTCATCTATAAAATGGGAAGGTGAGCCCTGCTTCAGCTCAGGGGGTCCCTGGGGACGTAGATTGTAAATGGCCAAAAGCTGTTTGTTCCCAGGAGGAGTGTCGGCGGGAGCTGCTGCCCTGGGTGCCCCTCCTTCAGCCTTTGAGGGAGTCCTGCCTGGACCTCCTAGTAGACCATCCCCACAGCCTCCTGAGGATCCTGGATGCCCAGACCTGGCTGTCCCAGGTGAGGGCTGGGGCAGTGGGCTCCCAGGGACAAGGAGTAGGGGCCCTGGTTAGCCAGGCTGGAGCCAGCAGGACCTCGTAGAGGTTATGGGATCCAGAGACCCTTAAGAATTTGAAAATGGGGGCCTGGGGCTGGGGCTCAGYGGTAGAGCGCTYGCCTAGCACATGCRAAGCCCTGGGTCCGATCCTCAGCACCACATAAAAATAAATAAATAAAGGTATTGAGTCCAGCTACAACTGAAAAATAAATATTAAAAAAATGAGTTTGATAATGAATTTCTGTGCCAGRAAGTGTGCTAAGGATAAAAGGTGAGCAAAGAGAGACCATAGAGCCCACCATGCAGCAGGTGAGAAATGCTGATTTAAAAGGAAAAGGCTGGGTGCAGTGGTGTACACTTATAGTCCCAGCCCAGCAGGCTGAGGCAGGAGGTTAAGGCCAGCCTGGGCAACTTAGAAAGATCATGTCTTTTATTTYTTTATTTTTTTTAGTTGTAAATGGACAGAATGCCTTTGTTTGTTTATTTTTATGTGGTACTGAGAGTGGAATCCAGTGCCTCACACATGCTAGGCAAGCGCTCTGCCACTGAGCTACAGCCCCATCCAAGATCATGTCTTTAAAAAGGAGGATGGGGTTGAGGATGTAGCTGAGTGGCAGAGGGCTTGCCTAGCTCGTGCAAAGCCCTGGGGTTCCATCCCCAGCACAGCGCGGGAAGGGGTGTAGAAAACCCTAAGCCAAAAATGCAGAAGCTGATATAAAGCCCACATGCATGATCTGTGGGTGGGTTTGTGAGGCTCTAAGAACATATGTGGGTCCCAGGCCTCCTTTGGGAACTGAGGCCAGAAGGTAGAACAGGAATATCTATAGAAGCTAAATATATCATGACCCTGAATATAAGCCATGCCCATTGTCCCAATTAGAGGTCAGAAATGAAAAATAATGGTAAAATAATCCAACACATAATTATGATCATTCATATCATATATCATAGATGATAGTCACCATGATATCAATGTAATATATATATATATATATAGATACTGATATGTAACATATTACCTTAATATGTAACTTTTTTTTTTGATATGAGGAGTTGAATCCAAGGGTGCTTAACCACTGAGCCACATTCCTAGCCCTTTTTTATATTTTTTATTTTGAGACAGGTTCTAAGTTGCTCAGGGCCTCTCCAAGTTGCTGAGGCTGGCTTTGAACCTATAATCCTCCTGCCTCAGCCTCCTGAGCCACGGGGATTACAGGCGTGCACCACTGCCCCCACCTGTAACTTTCATTTATCGTTTGCTTTCCGGTTCTGGGTATTGAACCCAGGGTCTCACACATGCTATGCAAGTGTTGTACTGCTGAGCTGTATCTCCAGCCCAACATTCATTTATGAAACTCAAACATATTTGAAATCCCTTACTAGATAAGACAATGTATTAATTTGTAAAGGATTGCTTTTCCCCTTGCTCGCATTACAGTTTTTTTTTTTTCACACATGCTAGGCAAGCGCCCTGCCATTGAGCTACACCTCCAGCCTTGTTTCCACTTCATTTTGAGACAGAGTCTCAGTGAGTTGCTGAGGCCAGCCTCAGACTTGTGATCCTCCCGCTCAGCCTCCTGAGTAGCTGGGATTACAGGAGTGCATCACCTTGCCTGGCCCACGATGTCTTATTAAAACTTGTCACTGGTGTCTTTGAGGCCGCAAGGCTACTTTTGGAGCACCGAGCATGGTTTTCCAAGGCTTGACACCCCCTCTAGTTCTGTGCTATTTGAAACGCAGCACTGTGTGGGTCTGAGCCATGGCTCTCCTGTGGGCAGCAGGAGTCAGACTCCCCTGACTGATTGCCATGTGCTCATTAGCTCCATCAAGTAAGCTCTGCCTGGATACATGTGGAAAATAATGTTTGAAATACTCATTTAGAAGCTGTAATTGTGGGATCCTACATCCTCAGTAATTGCTGCATCTGTCTTAAAGTCCCCTGGCCCCTGTTTCCTTTAAGGGACCCTTCAGGCATCCTCCGCGAGCTGCCAAATCYAGTACTGACTGGGGTGGTTTGGTTTCTGGGCCTGAGGTTGCTGTGTCTTTCTCAAATAGTATTTGATTGCTCAAAATTAAGTCATCAAGAAAGAGGGAGGCTGGGCAGGGTGGCAGCTGCCTAAAGTGCTAGCAACTCGGGAGGCTGCAGGAGGAGGATCACAAATTTGAGGTCAGCTTCGACAACTTAGAAAGACCCCGTCTCAAAATAAGATTAAAAGGGCTGGGGTGTAGCTCAGTGGTGGCGCACCCCTGGGTTCAGTCCCCAGAACTGGAGAAGGGAAAGAAAAAGAAAAGGGAGAGACACCTTTGGAGCGACTCAATAGTCACTCTCCCTGTCTGAGGAGGGTTTGGGGGGACAAGACCTCCCTTATACTCAGGGCATATGGTCCTGGGGTCACTGGGAGGGAGTGCCGTTCCTGCAGGGGACAGTGTGTGCAGAGCCTGAGGAGGTGCCACTCATCCCCTTATCAGGCCACAGACCACACCTTCCTCCAGAAGTGCCACTATCACCACAGTGATCACCCAAGCTACGCCAAGCCCCAGCTGCCCCTGCCCATCTTCACAGTGCGTCACTACGCTGGGACAGTCACCTACCAGGTATCTGGCCTAGGGACAGACTCCAGGGTGGATCAGTGAGGTGGTGTGACCTTGATGTCCCCTCCTAAGCTGAGTCACTTGACAGGTGAGAGGCACTTCTCATGCTTAGCCCTGTGTCCCCACCTGGGCCACCGGCTCCACCCAGTTCTGAGCATGATTCTGTGTGAGCATCGTGGGGCGACAGGGTCAAAGCCTTGGGACCTTCCAGATGTAGAGGCAAAGCCCAGGCCTGGGCTGCGGCCGAGAACCCAGGCACTTTGCCTGCTGGGCCTCCTTTTCCTCATGGGTAAAGTGGGCATGAAAGTCGGTCCTACAGCATTGGCACGAGTATGAAATGCAGTAACGCTGAGGGGCCTGCGAGGTGCTCGCTGAATGGACTTCCCTGTCCTGTTCTGAGTTTCACATCTACCGAGGACTTCCCAAGAGGAGAGTCCCTGACGGGAGGGTTCCTGGATGCAGGAGGGTACAGTGTGATAGACTCGAGGTGGGGAGGGTCAAGGAGGATCCCTGGCGGAGAGGGCATGCTCTGGTTGTAGAAGAAAACATGAAAACTACCTGGAAGTTAATAAAGACAACTGTGAAGACTGGGAACGTAGCTCAGGGGTAGAGCACTTGCCTGGCTCGTGCAAGGCCCTGGGTTCCAAAACACAACTCTGAATATCAAAAAAGAAGACTTAAAAATGGAAGACAAGCCGGGCACGGTGGCACACACCTGTAATCCTGGTGGCTCGGGAGGCTGAGGCAGGAGGGTCACAAATTTAAAGCCAGCCTCAGCAAAAGTGAGGTGCTAAGCAACTCGGTGAGACCTGTCTCTAAATAGAATACAAAATAGGGCTGGGGTGAGGCTCAGTGGTCAAGTGCCTCTGAGTTCAATCCCTGGTACCCCCCCCCCCCCGCAAAAAAAAAAAAAAAAAAAGGAAGATAAACCACATATCTGTAGGAAACCTCATGTGGTCCGGTCGAGAAGGGGTGATTTGAGGTAGGAAAACGGCCTGCCCCGAAAGGGAACGGCATTGATGAGGAGTGGCATCCACGGACCGGAACAGCCAGTCCAGTGGCCGCTTCAGGGCTGTGAGAGGCCTGCCCAGCTGACCAGGGGCCTTCTGATGCTGGAGAGAGGCTGGCCTCCTCCTGCGGGAGTCTGGCCACCACGCACAGCCTTCTCGCTTCCCGGCCCGCTTACTCACGTCTCCTGTAGGTCCACAAATTCTTGAACAGAAACCGGGACCACCTGGACGCTGCCGTGGTGGGAATGCTTGCCCAGAGCCAGCTCCAGGTGCCCTGCAGCCTCAGCCCTGCCCCTCCATACTCTGTCCCCATTGTCCTCCTCCCCGTATGCCCTTGCCAAAGGGGCTGGCCCTCAAGCCCCAGTGCCCTGCATGACAGGCTCAAGCCCTGCCTTGCCCCACAGCTGGTACGCAGCCTGTTCCAGGAAGCAGAGCCCTGGGCTGGAGGAGGGCCAGGCCAATCCACGCTGACCTCTCGCTTCCAGAAGTCCCTAGGAGACCTCCTAGCCCAGCTGGGCAGGTGAGGGTTATGGTGCTCCGCCACAAGCCCCCGGAAGTTGAATGGGGGCTGGTCTGTGCCCAGTGACCTCCCCTTCCGTTTAGCAGGAGCCACATCTATTTCATCCAGTGCCTTGACCCCAACCCTGGAAAGGTGAGCTCTGGGGTCCCAGGGCCTTCCCCACACTGCCCTGCCCTGCCCCTTTCCCTCGCTCCCCTGGACGCAGAGCCCTCAGCCCCACTTCTCACTGGCGCTCTCTGGCCCCAGATCCCAGGCCTCTTTGATGTGGGACATGTGGCAGAGCAGCTGCACCAGGCGGGCATCCTGGAGGCCATAGGCACCCGCAGTGCCCACTTCCCTGTGCGCATGCCCTTCCAGGCATTCCTGGCCAGGTAGGGCCTCAGGTTGGGGCAGCCCGGGGCCCAGCACCTGGGGGGCAGGGCTGACAGGGAGGCTCCCAGGCCAACCTGGGAGACCTGGGCTCCTTCCTGGAGGGAGGGACCCACTTTCCCCGGGACCCTGGGCCTGGCGTCCAACCTTCCTTCTCCCTTCCCATCACCCTTCTCACCCTCCTGCACTCACGGGCCCTTCCCCATCCCGCACGCCTCTCTGGCGCGAATGCCCAGGGACCAGGATGAGGTTGGCAAAGCCTGTCCTGGGGGCTCACAGTGTAGCCAAGGGACACGGTCAGTGTTCAGGAAGTGCTGGCTCAATTAGTGACATGGGAAGGGAGGACAGGGAGAGCAGAGCCCTTCAGAGGCACACAGACTTGGGTCAGCACTAGGAGCACTGGGGCGGCTCTGGGGAGTTCAGAAACTGCTAGGAAAGCTGGTGACTTTGTGTTTTTTGCCTATTTGGCCTTTGCCACTGACTGGATGGCCTTGCAGGCACCCCCTGAAGGGCTACCGGGTGTGTGCACCTGTCCTTGAGCCAGACACTGAGAAGGCCAGACAGGGAAGGTTCCTCCCTGCCCTTTGGACACTTACCAGATGCAGCATTGCCACCTCCTCCAGGAAGCCCTGAGGCTGGGTGGGGGGTCTTGGGGTACAGCTGTCCTCTCAGCACAGTCCAGGTCTGTCTGAAGGTCTGTGGTGAGCCCCCCTGCTGCTCTGGGGCCTCCCCCAACCTCCCTTCCAAAACCACGCCTTGACACCCTCTGTGCCGGCCACCAGGACTCACCAAGCTGCAGGATCACATTCCTGTTGCTTCCACAGCCCAGGACTGGCCGTATGGCCCTTTCTGTGCACCGCATTCCAACCACCTGTCTCCTCCCCAGAGCCGAGGAGAGCCCTGTTCACAGCCAGGTCTCAGCGCCCAGCCATGCGCCTAGTATGGCAGGATTTCCACATTGTGAACCACCCAGGAACTAAACTAATACGGAGGGGCTTGGGTGCAAACAAGTGTCAGAGGAGCTAAGAAGCTGTCCTGACCTGGCTCTGCCTCCTTGGGGCAGGTTCCGGGCCCTGGGGAAGGAAGGACAGGAGGACTCCGATCGGGACAGGTGTGGTGCCATCCTCTGTCAGGTGCTGGGGGCTGAGTCACCACTCTATCACCTCGGGGCCACTAAGGTGGGTGTGTGTATGCGAGGATGCAGTGGGGCGGGCAGTGGCAGGTGGAGAGGGGCTGGGTGGCAGGCACCCCAGAGTAGTGTGGCTGGGAGGGAGGAGGCTGAGGAAAGAGGAGGAGAGCAGGTGGGCACTGGTCCCCTGCCTGTCCCACTGCAGCCACGACCTTATCCACAGGTCCTGCTGCAGGAGAGGGGCTGGCAGCAGCTGGAGAGGCTGTGGGCGCAGAGGCGCACCCAGGCTCTGTTCACCCTGCACCGGGGCCTCCGTGCCCGCGTCTCCTGCCAGCGCCTCCGCCTCCTGCCCCGGATACAGGCTCGTGTGCGCGGGGTCCAGGCCAGGTGGGCCGCTGGAGCCAGGGCCGATTAGGGAGGAGGCCTTAGGGAAGAGGCCACGGTGGCCTCAAGGTGGTGGGGCAGTGTTGGGGAGGTAGGGTACCAAGGTAAGTCTGCCTGCCCCAGAGCCATCCCATCTGCTCTGGACTCCTCCTGACAGCATTCCCGCCCTGCCAGGCAGCCTCCGCTTGAGTACCCCAGGCACAAGAGGCTACCTGAGAGGCCACCTGAACTATGGGTCCAACTCCTTGACCCGCTCTTTTCTAGTCTGTTCTCCACCCTGCAGCAGGAAGGGTCATTTAAATCAGGCGCTGGAGGTGCCGGCCAGTGGTAGAGCTCTTGCCAGGCGTGTGAGGCAGCCCACGCACGGGCTTCTCAGGCCCACGGTGCTGCCCTCCTCGCTGACTCCCATTCCCCCATCAGCTCCTGTTGACCCTCCACAGCCATCGTCACCCATTCATGCCACACACTGGGACACAGGGTGATGGCAGCAGGATGGTGCCTCCCGGGGTGGTTAACCCAGCCCCTAGTCACCCCAAGGGATGACTAGGACTGAGAATAGAGTGGAGACTGCTCTGTGTGGACAACACCAGGGGACGCTCCGAGAGGGGCAGCGGTCATCCCCGCTCATTTCCAAAACTTTTCCATTGAACGAACACAAACTGTTACCACTGCAGACTCCCTCTGCCTCCCGCCCTTGACCTGTGCTAGCTTCCAACCTCCTTTCTGCCTCTATCCGGGCTCTTTCATGTAAGTTGACTTAAACTATCCTTTTATATCTGGCTTATTTTATTAGCATAAGGCTTTTTGTGCCCACCTGTGTTGAAGCATGGATCAGAACTTCACTTCTTTTTATGGCTGAATAATGTTCCATTGTATGGATTGGCCACACGTTATTTATCTGGTTATCCATTGATAGATATTTGGGTTGTTTCTATTATTTCTGAATAATGCTGCTATAATACAGGTACACAAGTGTGTGTTCTAGGTTCTGTTTTGTTTTGTTGTACTAGGGATTGCTTAACCACTGAGCCACATCCCTAGCCTGTTTTTTTATTTTGAGACAGAATCTTGCTGAGTTGCTTAGGGCCTCACTCAGTTCCTGAGGCTGGCCTTGGACTTGCGATCCTCCTGCCTCAGCCTCCCAAGTTGTTGGGATTACAGGCGGGCACCACCATGCCTGGCTCTAGGCTCTGTTTTCAAATCTCTGGGGTTTGTACCTAAGAGTGGAATTGTTGCACCGCGTGGTCATGTCTGTGTCGAACTTTTCGGGGAGCTGCTGGACTGTTTCCCATAGTGGCTGTATCATGGTTTGTTCTACCAGCAATGTACAAGGTTCCAGTTTCTCTATATCATTGGCAATACTTGTCATTTTCCATGTTTTTACATCATGCCCATCCTAGTGAATGTGACTACTAACTCATGGTTTTGATTTTTGTTTTTCTAGTGACCAATGACATTAAGCATATGTTCGTGTGCTTTTTAGCCATTATTTATCTTCTTTGGAGAGATATCTATTTAAGTCCTCTGCTTAGCTTTCAAATGGGCTGTCCCTGATGTTGAGCTGTAGGAGTTCGTTTTATTTTCTGGATATTAAGCCATTATCAAATATGTGATTTGCAAATGTTTCTTATTCTGTGGTTTGTCTTTTCACCCTGTTCATAGTGCCCTTTCAGCCACAAAAAGTTGCAGGGTCTTTTTGTTGTTGTTGTTGTTGTTTGTTTGTTTGTTTTTTAGTTGTAGTTGAACACAACACCTTTATTTTGTTTATTTATTTTTATGTGGTGCTGAGGATGGAACCCAGGGCCTTGTAGGTGCTAGGTGAGCGCTTCACCACTGAGCCATAACCCCTCCCATGGGCTTTTGTTTCTTTATTTTGTTTTTGTTTTTTGCAGTGCAGGGGATCAAACTCAGGGCCTCACACAGCTAGGCTTTACCACTGAGCCACGCCCTTGGCCCTATTTTTATGTTTATACTGTTCAGGATTCCTCCTTTGACAAGTCTTCCTATGACTGGGAAATTCTGAAAGCTATTTTATTTTCATATTCCCTTATCTGGAATCTCCTATTTAAATTTTTATGAGGTCACTTTTTAACTTTGTAAGTTCTGTAGTAAAACAGAGAGGTAGAATAATTTATCCACAGTCACATTGACTAATTAGCAGGGAATGATTTAGATCCAGGTAATCCAGCTCAGGAGTCAGGTCTTGATCCCCTTTTGCCAAACAGCCGCTCCATTTACCTGTTCCTTTTTCACAATGTCCTGTTCTTTTCTTGTTGCTTCTGTTAAGCATTCAGGGGCTTCATGGTCCAAAGTCAGGTTTACATAGTGTCTAGGCTTGGAGGGATTGAGTACCAGGCAATAGGTATAAATTTGGAGCCTCATTCACCCTCCCTGGCCTCCAGGAAGCGGTACCTCCGGCGTCGAGTGGCTCTGGGACAGCTGAACACCATCCTCCTTGTGGTCCAGCCCCTGTGCCAGAGACGGCAGAGGCTGCAGGTGAGGGGTATGGGGACAGATACTGGGCTAGGGAAGCTCAGGGTGTCTAAATCTCAACAGTGTCTGCCCTCAGCCCAGCCTCACAAGAACTGAGGTCTCGGAGACCACGTTGAACTCTTTCCTGTTTCTTCTCTGGCCAGGGCAATCTGGGACCCGGGAGTCTACTGTCTTCTTTCTTGCCTGGAGTCTCTTCCATTCCCTCTGTCCCTCCCGTGGGCCCCTTGTTCTCCCCCTCTTGCCTGATGACTCCAATTTGAGGCTCATAAAGCCGCTCAAAGGTCAGTGCCCACATACTGCCTCCCTCCCTGGCGCCTCCCTGGCTGAACTTTGTCCTCTGGGACCATTTCTTCCCGTCCTCCTGTCCTCTTCCCTGGGTCCTGGCAGACGGGCAGTGACGGGCACAGTGAGGAGCAGGTGAGAGCTCTGAAGGGCTGGGGTCAGATAGGAACAAACTGGCCACTTGGCAGACAACTGGCCCCTCTGGGTCTGTGCCCATCCTTTTCTGGAGTCAGGGCCTCCAGCAGGCAGGAGGGGACTCTGACCTGGGGAACTGGGGAAGGGCCACCGGGAGGCTCACGGTGGTGTTTATGTGGGGCTGGGAAGGGAGTCAGCTCTTCCTGCATCTCCCCCACAGCTTGGCCAGCCGAGTGGCCCGTGTGGCCGGCACCGTGGTGGGGCCTTGGAGAAGGCGTCAAGCATGGTAGGTGGCCTGGACTGGGAAGGGACTCCTTGGGGGAGGGGATCTGAGCCTGCTGAGCCTGACATAGCTTTGGGGAGGGTAGAGAGTCAGGGAGCTGCCAGGGTCACTCTCCTTATGTGTCACCTGAACAGAGGAGTAGCCACTCGCAGTCCCCCTCCGAGGCTCTTGGGGCTCTGAGTGCCTAGGACCAGAGTCCTTGGTCTTTGGAGGGGATGTCTATTGTTCTGGGGGAAGGGGGTACCAGGTGCCTCTGTGCCCTCCCTTGGTTCCTGGTATCTTGTTCCTCCCCACCAGGAGCTGGGGCGCTTGGAGATCCCCGCTGAGCTGGCCGCCATGCTGAAGAGAGCAGAAGGTGGGTGGGTCTCCTTGGTGCCCCAGTCCCTTGACTGTGCAGTGGCTCTGTCTCTCCCCGAGCTCCCTGCAGCTTCCTGGAGATAGGTGCTGGTGGCTGATGGGGAGGCAGGGTGGGTGCCAGGGGAAGGACTACACTTGGGTACCTTCGGGCTCCTCCTGTGCTCCTTTCCAGGTCACCAGGATGCCCTGGCTGGAAGCATCACCGAGTCGATGCCTCCTGAGGTTCCTGCCCGGCCCAGACGGACCCTCCCCCGAGACATTGACCAATTCCCCTTCTCCAGTTTCATCGCTAGCAGCTTCCAGGTGGGCCCCCAGGCCTGAGCACTTCCCGCTGGCCCTGCCGTTCCCAGTCTCAGCACCTGCCAGGCATGAGCTGGGCCTTCCCACCTTCTCTACCCTTTGTAGTCACCCGGGCTGTAGGTGCAGCTGGACAGATCTGAAAATACCCATTAAACGGAGACGTGTCACCATAGAGTTATTTCCATCTGTGAGGCCACACCTGGGTGCCTACCTGTGGTATTGTTCCGCCATTGAAGTCGTGTCCTTAAGAATGTTCAAAGCAAGGGAAACTGTCTGGGAGGCAGCGTTCAAATCAAAAGCAGGATTCCACGCTGCACATGTAGTAGGATCCCAATTTTGCTTTGGAAAAAAAAAAAAAAAACCCAAAGTGGGGATGCTAGGGTGTGTGTATCTAGGCACAGAAAGGAAGACGAGAGAGGGTAAAAGGCTTACTCTGGTTCTCTCTGGCAGTAGGATGTTAATGGTGGTTTTCATTTTCTTTTTTTTTTATCCTTTTCTGTGCTTTCTCTACATATGGATCTCAATCTAATCACAGATTTCTTAAGATGCATTTCTGGGCTGGGGATACAGCTCAGTTGGTAGAGGGCTTGCCTCACATGCACAAGGTCCTGGGACAATCCCCAGCACCACACACACACTCACACACACATAAAAATAAAAAAAGAAAGATGCATTTCTAAGATGTCTTTGTGCACCAGTCCCCCTCCTTCTCCTGTGCGGATCCCCAGGACTGTCCTCCCGCTGATCAGCACAGAGGACAAATGCCATGTCACCCTTCTTCCCTGCAGGAGCCATCCCTGCCCAGTCCAGGACAGCTGCTGGCCAAGCCCCTGACCCAGCTGGATGGTGAGAACCCCCAACTTGCTCTGGACATCAACAAGGTGGTGAGTGACACATTGGGGAGGGGACAGTGTGGACCCTCCAGGGACAGGGCAGCACATGAGAGTCCTGTCCCTCCTGCTCTGGCCTGGCATTGTGTGGCAGATGCTGCGGTTCCTGGGAGACGGGTCCCTGCAGTCCTGGCAGGAGCAGACCATGGGTGCCTACCTGGTGAGGCAGGGGCAGCGCCGACCAGGGCTGCGGAACGAGCTCTTCAGCCAGCTCGTGTCCCAGCTCTGGCAGAACCCTGACGAGCAACCGAGCCAGCGCGGCTGGGCCCTCATGGCTATCCTGCTCAGCGCCTTCCCCCCAATGCCCACCCTGCAGAAGCCACTGCTCAAGTAATGGGATCAGCAGCAGGGGACCTGGGGGGCAGGGTCCACACGCCTCTCCTCTACTGCAACCCGGTACTGTCCCTGCAGATTCGTTTCGGACCAGGCCCCCCAGGGCATGGCGGCAGTATGCCAACACAAGCTGCTGGGAGCCCTGGAGCAGACATCGCTGGCCCCTGGGGCTGCACGGGCCCACGCGCCCACCCAGCTCGAGTGGAAGGCAGGATGGCGGAGGGGCCGCATGGCGCTGGATGTCTTCACCTTCAATGGTGATGGCCCCCTCCTGCCAGGCCTCCCCACCCTCTGCCCTCTCGGCTCCCTTCCTGCTCTGGTCTTCCTGCTGCCCCCGCCCCATGTCACTCTGATCTCCCCTCTCCTCTGCTGTCCCTCACCCTTGTCCCCCTCCTCCCCTGCAGAGGAGTGCTACTCGGCCGAGGTGGAGTCCTGGACCACAGGGGAGCAATTTGCCGGGTGGATCCTACAGAGCAGGTATGAGGATCAGGCTGGGGGCCATTGGGACCAGAGCTGACGCTTGTCCCCATCCTTGTCCTCCCTCCCTCGTGCCACACACCTCCTAGGGCTCAGGGACTGAGGCTACTCCCCAGGGTCAGGGAGGGTTAAGGTAAGTGAGTGGGTCAGACTGTGGATTCCAGATGGGGAGCAGAGTGGAGGGGATGCGCCAGAGCCCGGGGCCAGATCCTCACTCAGTCGGACTGTGGATGAGGGCAGCAGAGCCGCAGGGTAACGAGGAGGGCTGCCTGTGTTGCCCAGCGAGACCGGGCCCTGCAGCCCACTGACAATGCCGAGGGCTGGAAGGGCCTGGGCCGCCTCCCCTTGCTCCCTGCCCCTGCAGGATGGTCATCTGACTCACTGACCATCTCCCTACTGCATGTTGCTGTTCCACCCAGAGGCCTGGATGTGCCCCCTCGAGGCTGGTCTGTGTCACTGCACTCTGGGGATGCTTGGCAGGACTTGGCTGGCTGTGACTTTGTGCTGGACCTGATTGGCCAGATGGAGGACCCTGGGGACCCAGCGGGTCCCCGCAGCTACCCCATCACCCCCACTGGCTTGTAAGTCTACCCATGCCCTCTATCCCTGGTCTGCCCTCCCCTGGCTAGTGACCCTTGTAGTCACCCTGTCACACCCTGAGGCAGCATACGTACTGCTACAGACCCAGCACTGCCCCCAGCCTCCCCCACCCCATCCCCACAGTTTGGGTGCTACTCTCTGCCTCAGCAGCCCCCTTAGCTAGACCTACTGGTTTCTGCAGAGCCGAGAACATTCCCCCTGCCCCTGGTGTCCAGGCCCCCTCACTGCCTCCAGGCCCACCTCCAGGTCCAGCCCCAGCACTGCCCAGCAGAGGCCACACAGGTAAGGCTCATTGAGTTGGCAGAGTGCTGGGAGTGGGAGTCCAGCAGCCCTAACTCTGGCTGGATGCTCCAAACTGTCCCTGCCCCACAGGGGAGGCCCGGACATCGGGGAGCCTGGATGGCTTCCTGGACCACATCTTTGAGCCTGTCCTTGCCCCAGGCCTCAGTGTGAGTGTCCCCTACATCCTGGCCGTACCTCAACCTGCTGGGGCCTCTGCTGCTCCTTCCATTTTTCCCAGGCGCTAGCTCTGACACCGTGACTATTGTCCCTTCAGGATCTGGAACAAGGCTGGGCTCTGAACAGCCGCATGAAGGGAGGGGGTGCCATYGGGCCCATGCAGCAGGGCTACCCCATGGGTGAGTGTGGGGTCGATCTCCATCCAGGGCCATCTGGCCCAGTAGCACAGTCAGGGGTGGCCTGGGACCCCGAGGCAGCTGGGACAGGGATTCCAGCCAGCACACCCTGGGGGCTGGTGCCCTTGCTCTTCTCTTGGCCTGGGGCTGGAGGGAGATTGTGTGTGAGCTCAGGCAGAGACTGACCTGGAGCCTGGTTCTTTAGTGTACACAGGGATGATGCAGATGCCTGGATACCAGCCAGCTATGATGCCTCCACCAATGCCCATGGTGCCAGCGGTGGGCACAGTCCCCACTGTGCCAGGTAAGGCCAGGCTGGGGGCATCAGGGTCCCTTGTAGCAGCTAGCTTTGAGATTGAAGCATGAAAGGGCCTTCCAGGAGTCCCGAGGGCACAAGAGGCACTCACCTGCTCTGGCCACCTGCTGCCCCTGTAGCCATGATGGTGCCACCGCAGCCACAGCCACAGCCGCAGCCCCTGCTTCCCAGCCTGGACACGAGGCAGCTGGCAATCCAGCAGCAGAACTTCATCCACCAGCAGGCGCTGATCCTGGTGAGAGTGGCAGGGCCCATGGGGCTGCCTGGGGGAGGATGGGTGTGTGGGGTGGGGGCCACACAGGGTTCTTACCTGGCCTCTCACCCCTCCCCTGAAGGCCCAACAGATGACCACCCAGGCCATGAGCCTGTCCCTGGAGCAGCAGAACCAGCAGCGCCAACGCCAAGCCCAGGCCTCTGGGGCTGCCTCCCAGGCCCCGCCCTCAGCTGTCACTCCCAAGCCCAAGAAGCCCCCTGTTCCCCTAGAGAAGCCAGAGCATGACCTGGAAGCAGGAGGGGCCTGCTTGAGGGTGAGGAATGAAGGCCAGGTGGATACAAGGCCTGGGGAGGGTCCAAAGATGCCGGGCTGAGACACTTGGGCTGGGTGCATGTGAAGGTTTGGGAAAGGGAGCAGAGGGGGAGGTCGTGAGCGATTCGTGTGCTGCTGGGGCTGCAGTTTGCTTCTCCCTTGGGCCAGGAGGAGACCTCAGAGGAGGCTGAAGACAGGCCCCAGCGCCCTAAGAGCTTTCAGCAGAAACGGGASTATTTCCAGAAGATGGGTGAGGGTGCTTAGGGTGGCAGTCCATGTGGAACTCTAACTGGCCAGGGGAGGAGAGGGTGCTCCCAGATCTCCGTCAGTATGGCCTGCCGGGGAGCCCCGGTAGAGCTGCTGGGCAAGCATAGATGACAAGAAGGCCGTGTGGGGCATTTACAGGACAGCAGCAGATCAAGGTGAAAATGGTGAAGCCTCCAGCCAAGGTCCAGATCCCCCAGGGGGAGGAGACAGAGGAGAAAGAAGAGGAAACAGGAACAGGTGGGGCAGACAGACGGGGCCTGGGGCTCCTGCTTTTCTGTGCAGAGTTTAATGTTCTTTCTTATTCTGGTCAGTGCTGTCCCCTTCTTCCCCTCCTCCTCCTCCTGTCTCAGTGAAGAAGCCACTGAAACAAGGTGTAGCCAAAGCCGCAAAAGAGGCTGAGGCTGAGCCAGCTGAGGCAGCACGGCCAGCCCAGGGTGAAGGGCCCACGGTGCGCAGCTTGGGCCCCACCCCGCAGCGGCCAGAACCCAGCAAGGAAATTCGCAACATCATCCGCATGTACCAGAGCCGCCCCAGCCCTGTGCCCGTGCCCGTGCAGCCAACCAGGTCAGCCCAGGGAGTGATGGCTGGCCTGCTTCTCTCAGGAAATTTCCCTAGAGACTTAGTGATCTCTTGCTTCTCCTACAAGGCCCCTCAAAACTTTCCTGAAGAAAAATGACCCTAAAGACGAGGCTCTGGCCAAGCTGGGGATCAACGGTGCCCACTCGCCCCCCTCAGTGAGTTTCCTGTCTATTTTCTTCAGGGCATGGTCTGATCTACTCGTGGGGTGAATTTAGCCTTGCCAATTGACCCAGCTCTTGTGCCTTCTCTGTCCCCACCCCCAGACTCTGCCCCCCAGCCTGGGGAAGGACCCACCACCAGCTGTGGCTCCCCGACCCAAGGCCCAGCCACGGCTTGGGCCCTCCAACTCCATCAAGGAAAAGCAGGGGCCCCTTCGGGATCTGTTTGGCCTAAACCTTCCCATTGCCCAGGAACCCCTGCTGCCACCAGCACCCCCACTGCCTTCCACCGAGGATCCCAGGACCCCTTTGGCAGAGCCTCGCGGTAAGGAATCCCATCCCCCTGTACAGTGGGGCCTCACGGGGTCAACAGCCTCTGGGGACCCCGTGGCTGAAGTCATCTCTACACAGCTGAGGTCAGCTGCTTGGGCTTTTGGACTTTGGAGCCATGGAGCCCCAACTTCCGCGTTCCCTCCCCGGGCAGGGCTCAGGAACTCTGGGCCTGTCACGGAGGGACTGTCAAACACAGGGTGTTGTCCAGGATGCAGACCTGGCAGCTCTGTGGGGAATTCAGTGTACATGACTGATGTGTGCAGGGACACCAGGGACATCTAGGGCCAGAAATGGAGGCAGGAGATGGTGCTGAGTTCAGGAGTAATCCAGCTGGGGGTTGAGGGAGGCAGGCAAGGACAAGGGTCCTCCCTCCCTGAACCCCTGGCCTTCTGGCCCTGGCAGCCCCTCACCTGGAGCTCTGTATCCTCCCTTGACAGTCTTGTCAGAGCCCATGGGGGACCGGGGCATCTCCACCCAGCTCCTTGTGCCCTCTGGCAGTGTGTGCTTCTCCTATGCCAGCGCCCCCTGGAAGTTGTTCCTACGCAAGGAGGTGGGCATCAAAGTGGGCATCAGAGGTGGGCCTTGGCCTGGCCTTTTTGGGCTGGGGATCCCGACCTGGCACTCCTCATGACCCACCTTTTCAGGGCTGGTTTCCCAGTCTGTGCCTGGAAGGGCAGAGGTGGGCTGGGAAGGACACAGGCCCACCCAGTCTCTACTCTTTCCCCTTCTCCTCCAGGTGTTCTACCCTCGGGAGAACTTCAGCCATCCCTACTGCCTCCGGCTTCTCTGTGAGCAGGTGAGGGCTGGGCTCGCCTGCCAGCCTGCCACGTCTGCAGCCAGACAGCATCCTGTGGCCCTTAGCCCAGCTCCTAGCTCGGGTTAACACCCGTGTGAGGGGCATAATAGCAGTGGCACTTTTTGTGTGCCCAGCCCTGACTAAGAGTCCTAGTTTTAGCAATGAGGTCCTGGTACACAGTAGGTGCTTCATAAATGGTGGTTGTTGTGTTGCCATCTATGGGTGCTCCTAGGGCTGTGCTTTTGCTCCCAAAAAGTAGCCTCCTTTCTCCCTCTGGCCACATTCTGTTCCTTTAGGGCAGCTCGCCTCAGCTGACCCAACAGTGGCAACCAGTGGGGGAGGGACAGAGAGACGAAGGGTAGGAGAGCAGGTGACTGCTGGCAAGGGGCAGGGAGCTGCCTGGGCTGGGGAGCCCTCTGTCCCTCCTGACTCCTCCTGGTCCTCCACTGGGCCCTCCAGTCTTTCCTCCCTGTATGTCCATGGCTGCTCTGGGGTGGGCTCTGGCCTCAGGACCTGTGGTGGTGACCACTTGGCTCTGTTCCTAGATCCTGAGGGACACCTTTGCTGAGTCCTGCATTCGGATCTCCCAGGACGAGCGGCACAAGATGAAAGACCTGCTGGGTATGGGTGCAGGGACACTGGAATCCGGGAGATGGAGTGCCAGGGGCTGGGCTGGCCCCAAGGGAGGACATGGTCACAGGAACCCTTTGAGATCAGGGACCTGCCTGCAGGAGACTTGGAGGTGGGCCTGGACTCTCTCGCCACTGTCGAAGACAGCGTCAAGAAGCGCATTGTGGTGGCCGCTAGGGACAACTGGGCCAATTACTTTTCCCGCATCTTCCCTGTCTCGGTCAGTGGGGCTGTGGGGAGGGCCAGGGTTGTACCCTGAGTCTGGGCCCTCCACAGGTGGGATGAGTGCCGGGGGAGGTGTGCCAGTGGCCCAGTGCAGGTCCAGGGAATGAGCAGTGCCAGGCTCCAGGAGCCTGTCCCTGACCCACCCACCTTCCTGGCAGGGCGAGAGTGGCAGCGACGTGCAGCTACTAGGTGTTTCTCACCGAGGGCTGAAACTGCTCAAGGTGACCCAAGGCCCCAGCTTTCACCTGGACCAGCTGAAGACACTCTGCTCATACAGGTGGGCTGGCCTGGAGCCTAGGCTGAGGGTGGGGTGGCAAGATGACCCCCAGCTCATGCTCCATCTGTGTGTAGCTTTGCCGAGGTGCTGGGTGTGGAGTGCCAGGGCAGCTCCACCCTAGAACTGTCTCTGAAGAGCGAGCAGCTTGTGCTGCACACAGCCCGGGCCAGGGCCATCAAGGCCATAGTGGATCAGTTCCTGAGTGAACTCAGGAAGGTAAGTGCAGGCCGGGTGCTGGGTCAGAGGCAGCCTGCATCTTGTATCTCGGCCTCTCTGGCTTCCCTGGACTGGGACTGGGGGTTTAGGCTGGATCCCTGGAACTCCAGGGTGCTGGGTGGAGGGGGAGGTCAACTGGGGAGAAGGCGGGGTGGGCAGGCTTGCTGCTTCTGGCTCGCTCACCCACCTGCCCACAGGACTCCGGCTATGTCATCGCCCTGCGAAGTTACATCACTGATGATCACAGCCTCCTAAGCTTCCACCGTGGGGACCTCATCAAACTATTGCCAGTGGCTGATCTAGAGCCAGGTATTCCCCAAGGAGGGCATCCTACTGGCGATGCCTGCTTAAGCTGGCGCGGCCAGCTGGGTGAGCCACTGTCTTGGGTATGCCTTCTAGGCTGGCAGTTTGGCTCTGCCGGGGGCCGATCTGGACTCTTTCCTGCTGACATGGTGCAGCCGGCTGCTGCTCCCTACCTTCCCACCCCTGAGCAGAGGAACGGCTGGCGGCGCAAAAGTCAGCCTCAGCTGGGAGAGCCAGGTCCCACTCAGTGGGACAGGGCCTCGGAGGTGAGAAAGACAGGAGAGGCAGAGGCAACAGCTCTCTAGAGTCAAAGAAGGAGAGTGTGATTGCCCCAGCGGCTACCTGCCTCCTGTGCCCTCCAGTGGCCTGGTGGTCAGTGCTTGGTGCATTGCTGTCCCCTCTGCCTTCTCTTGCCTTCTTTCCTTGTTTCCGAACCAGCAAGTCTGTAAACCTCCCGTAGCAGGGGCTGGATCTAACCCTCTGGCTCCCACATGGTGCTTATTTCAACACAGCTATCAAGGATTCTCAATAAACAGTCTCGACTTTCTTGGCTTCTGGTGTTACTCCTCTCGGGTCTGGCAAGACTGGGACTGGGGCTGGGGCTGGGTAGGGCCTTGGGGACAGGTTAGTGGGCATTCAGGTGGCACCAGGTTTCCTGTGCTCCCAGCACCCTGCTCGCCCCTGGAGACAGGCACACAGTGATGATTCAGAGGCTACCAGCCTGCCCTCCTCCATGGCCTATGCCTCTCTGTCCAATGACTCCCGCAACTACACCATGCAAGAATTTGCCCTGCACTACTTCCGGAAGCCTTCCACTTTGTGAGTGCCCTGGGCCAACCCCTGTGCCTGTCCCCAGCATTCCCAACCCAAACCCCCAGCCCACAGCCACCTGGCTGGTGCATGCCCACCCTCTCCATAGCCTAGAACAAGGGCAGGTGAGCCAAGCAAGCAGGGCTGTCCTTTCTTGTGTCTCCCATAGGCTGGACCAGAGAGGTGGCAGTGCCCAGGGGATAGTCATAACCAGCCTGGTGCAATACACCAAGGTAAGGGGCCAGGTGGGGAGGAATCCGGCCTGTGTCTCTGCCTTTTGACCAACATTGGTCCAAGACCCACAGCTGAGCCTCTTCTGCCAGTCTCCCATCCAGGAATCTCTCATCAGACTTAGTGATGAGGACATGAGCAAGCAGGCTGTGGCGGGCTTCCAGGGTGAGTGGTGTGGGCATCCGGGGTCCCCATGTCGACAGTGCCTTGGACCTACACACCTGATCCCCCTTCCTCCCTAAGCTCTGGCTTCTCCCCAGTCTGCCAAGTCGGACATGCTTGCTGGTGGTTCCTGTGCCCCAGGGTCCTCCCCCACTTGTGTTCTCACCCACCCACAGGTTGTGGGTTTTTTGGAGTTCGGGGCTGGAAGGCAGTGGATGGGTCCAGCTGACAGCTTGTGCTGTGTGTGGCCTTGGGTACCCATGTGATTTCCCTGAGCCCATTTCCTCCCTGGTTAAGCTGCCCTGCCCGGCACATGGGCATTTGGAGAATGAGGCATCAGATGGCAGGTGAAGGCCCATGCAGCGACGGCATGAGCCAGGCCAGGCCCCCACCCAGCTCACCTCGCTCCTCATCCTGCCTGCAGCTCTGATGCAATTTATGGGGGACAAGTCTAAGCCACGGGGCAAGGAGGAGATGGACCTGCTCTATGACCTGCTGAAGGTATGGAAGAGCTGTGTGTGCTAGAGGCTGGGCAGACACCTTGAGCCCTGAGGGCCTCTTTCTATTCTGCCTGCGCCTCAACAGGATCCCTTCCCCTTGGTTACTGTTTCTTTTAATCAATCAAATGTATCACACACCCACTATCTGCTGGGAGCATGGCTGTGAACCCAACAGGCAGTGGCCCAGCAGGGGCAGTGCTGCTGTAGGGAGAAGGCTCTGTGACAGAGATCTGGAGGAGTGAGCCATGTGTACACAGACAGGACATCGAGGCAGAAGGAAGAGCAGGGCACAACAGTTGTGACAAGGCTGTGCACCTCAGCACCGACAGAGCAGCATAGCTGGACTCTGATGAGAAGTGGGAGGGGGTGGGGACAGGCAGGGTACATGGGTCCAGGTCACAGCAGGGACTTTGATGGTGTACTGACAGGAATCACTGAAGGGTTTTGAAGAGAGACTTGGCTTACATTTCCCATCCTGCTACTGCTTGAGATTGTGGGGTTTAAGGGCAAAAAGAAGTTACTGCAGTGACCCCAGATGAGAGGGTGCTAGGTCAGGATCAGAGGCAGCAGCAGAGGGACAAGGGGAAGATTCAGAGTCCACACCCCTTGCCCCAGCTTGCAGTGGGTGCAAGGGGATAGAGCAGGGACTGTCTCTGGTGAGGAGCAGGTCTGGGTTTCTGGAGGGTCCGTTTTGGACATGTGAGGTCTGAAACTCAGACTTCAGATTAAAGGGGTCTGGGATTCAAGGGGGCATATAGTCTAGATAGAGGCAGGCACCTGAGACCATCAGGGAGGGTGCAGAGAGAGGCTCAGGGCATCACAGTGGTGGAGGCCAGGGAGACAGGTGGATCCAGCAAAGATGACCAACAGACCAGAGAAGCAGGTAAAGAAAGCAATTTAAAGAAGGTGACCAGGGTTAGGATATGGTACTCAGGAGGCTCTGGGTTCCATCCCCAGCAACACACACACACACACATTGTTCATATACTTCCAGCTGCTGAGACAGAGAGGCGACCACTGGGAGGTCACCTTGATTGGGCCCCTGCCTGGGACCATACCAGAATCTCTTCCTGACTTTAGACCCCACGCATCCCTCACCCTGTGGGCCTCCCTACTTGCCCTTCTTGTCTCCACAGCTGTGCAGCAAGGAGGACCTCAGGGATGAGATGTACTGCCAGGTCATCAAGCAGGTCACAGGACACCCCCAGCCGTGAGTGGGCACAGGGGTGGGGACCTCAGGGGGGGCAGTATGGCACTGAAGTCCAGCCACCTGCAGCCCAGGCTTTCTGCCCCACAGGGAGCACTGTGCTCGGGGCTGGAGCTTCCTCAGTCTCCTCTCGGGCTTCTTCCCTCCATCCACCACGCTCATGCCCTATGTGACCAAGTTCCTGCAGGACTCAGGCCCCAGCCAAGGTGCTGGTGGGAATGGAAGGGGAAGGGGCTTTGGAGACTGGGAACCCACTGGCTGGGGAGGGGTTTTGACACACGTGACCTCCTTCACCATGGCCCCTCTGCAGAGCTTGCCCGGACCAGCCAGGAGCACCTCCAGCGAACAGTCAAGTATGGGGGGCGTCAACAGCTGCCCCCCATGGCTGAAATGAAGGCTTTCTTGGTACTGGGAGTGGGTGGATGCCTTCTGTGGCTTCCCTGGGTTAGGGGGCAGTATGGGACTGAGTGCTGGTTACTCAGCCTACATTCTGTTTCCACAAGAAAGGGCACACAGTCCGCCTTCTTGTGGTCCACCTGCCCGGCGGTGTGGATTATAGGACGAATGGCCACATGTTCACGGTGAGCAGGGGGGCCAAGGGAAGAGGCCCTGGGCCTCAGCTCTGGGCTCCCAGCCTCCTTCCCCCATCATCACAGTCCCATCACCATGCACAGGTGGCAGGAGAAGTGCTGGAGGAGCTGTGTGGGCAGATGGGCATCAGGGACCCCCAGGAGGTGGAAGAATTTGCCCTCTTTCTCATCAAAGGGGAAGGTGAGTCCAGGGAGAAAAGGGAAGAGCAGCAGGCTGGGTCTGGGGAGGAAGCCTCACCTGGGGGCCATTCTGCTCACAGGAGGTAGCTTCTGGGCTGGGGTGGCAGGATAGGCTGTAGGCAAGTCTGACCTGCGCTCCCCATGTAGGTGAGCTGGTTCGTCCCCTGTGGCCCCACGAGTACCTCAACAGAGTGATGGTGCACCAGGATGCCAGCCTGCACAGCCGGCGGCTGGGCTGGGAGACCCCACTGCATTTCAATCATCCCACCTACATCAACACCCACTACGGCCAGGTCAGTCCCCGCCCCTGGGGCTGCTATCCAGTGCTGCAACAGCTTGGGGGCGGAGTCTTCTTGGGCAACATCTAGGGCCCTTCTCCATGAGGATCTGGATCCATGGCAGCTGGAAGGGGCTGCTGGCAGAAAGGGTTTGAGCCCCTGGGGGCTTTAGGCTGCCCCCCTCATGGCCCTGCCCCCACCAGGTGCTGCGGGACTACCTACAGGGGAAGCTGATGGCCAGCGCCCAGGCAGAACACCAACTTGCCCGGCTGGCTGCCCTTCAGCACCTTGTAAGGGCCAGAAAGAGCCCCCCCTCGGGGTATGTGAGCTTGGCCCCCACACCTGTTGTGTCCCCACCCACCTCAGCACCAGCCTGAGCTTCTCCTCCAGACCCTATCCCACTCCCTCTTCCAAGGCGACGGTCACTCCACTAATCCTTCCTGGCCCTACTCAGAGTGGCCTGAACAGCCAAGGCAGTGGATATCTGACCTCTCTACCCCACCCCAAGCTTCTCCAGGGTGAGGCCCTCACCTCATTCATGTGCATGATCTCGTCTTACCCACAGTAGGCACTATTACCTGGCACCATATGCCCAGCCCTACACCAGGTGGTCATTGGTGGTGGGATTGACTGACCTCAGCTCTGTACCCTAGGCAGGACCTACTGGCTTATATACCAAAGCCTCTACAGTGGCAGGTGAATATGGCAACTATAGAGAGTTTGATGGGCCAGGAGCTCAGGCAGCTACAAGGACACAGCCCCCAGGAAGCACAGATCAGCTTCATTGGTAGGTCTGATGCAAGGGGGTCCTGGGGTGGAGGCTAGAGGGGTCTGCCTGCCCTTACCTGCCCCAGGGAACAAAGCAGGGCAGGCTCCTAGCCCCTGAAGTCAGAACCCTTGTGCCCTGGCCCTCTCCACTCACAGAGGCCACAAGTCAGCTGCCCCTCTTTGGCTACACTGTGTACGTAGTGCTTCGAGTGAGCAAGCTAGTCCTCCCAGGACCTGCCCTCCTGGGGCTCAACCGCAGGCACCTCATCCTCATGGACCCCAGCTCCCAGGTAAAGCTCCTGCCCTGGTGCTGGCCCAGGACTCAAGGGCCATTCCTCTGCCACTATGGATTGAAGCCCCACCCCAGAAGAGCCAAGCTTTGCCATCTCTGTAATCCCCAGAAACTGTGCTGCTCCATAGCCCTGAAGGACCTGCAGCGGCTCCGCCTGCTGAGTCCCCTGGAAGAGGAAGGGCCCCCTGGTCTGGAACTCAACTATGGCTTGGCCGACAGCCCTCAGACCATCTGGTTGGAGCTGCCACAGGTGAGTGGCCAGGACTTCAGTCACCCTTTGGAAGGAGGATGAGTGCCTCCAACCAGCCCTGGTGTGCAGTGGGACCTACTGCACTGTGAGCAGTGCCTACTGCTCAGGAGTGGTGTGGGCAGGGGCAGATGGGAGCTGGCTAGGGAGCCCAATGCTGACGTGCCTCTGCCCAAGCAGGCCCAGGAGCTACAGAACACCATCATCTTCCTGTTGGATGACAGTATATCTTCCACTTAGTGGCCTGGCCTCAACTGAGGGCCTGGAGTTGGACAGAAGAGGCAGCAGCCTCTGCCTGGCCCAGATCTCTTCCAGATGGTCCGCCTTACAGGCCATTCTGGTTTGGACTTTATCACTTGGCTCTGCTCTGGAACCCACCACAGCATAGCCTGGTTGGCCCAGGTGAAGGCTGAGGCAGGGGATGCCACTGTGACTTCAACTGGGAATAAAAATAGCCATACTCCCTCCAGGGTGGGCTTGGGGAAGGGAAGAGCTGTAGGAACTCAGTCCAGGCATCTGATGTTGCCCAGCCTGGAGGAGAGGCCCATGTTGCCACCCAGGCTCAATGTCAGCATGAACCTAGGCCTGGAAGAAGCAGCTGCTGAGGAAATAAAACTCCTGAGGAAAGGCCTGTGTGTGTGTGTGCACATGCCATGTGCTGACAAACAGGACTTTATTCTTGTCAACATCTCAGTTAGGCCTGTCCTTCCTGATTAGGAGCTTAGCGGGGTGTGTGTGTGTGTGTGTGTGTGTGTCTGGCAGCTGCCCTCTCCCCATAGCTCTGTACCTGTAATCTCAAGGGAAGCGGGTGTGGAGCACCTGGGAGAGCCCAATACCTTGGAGAGGAGGGCTTCACTCCTGGCTGAGACCCATCCTATTAAGTACAAGATAGAGGACCCTTCCTTCTTCCTCTTAACCTGGTAGCAGTCACACCACCCTCCCCTTCTAACCTGGGGATCTGGCCCAGAAAACCCAGCCATGAGGGTCAGGAGAGGCAAGGAGGCTCTAAAAAAGGGCCACAAGCTTTGCAGGCAGAAAGCTGGGCAAACCTCTGGCCTCTGCCTAGATTTGAGAGGGTCTGGGGCCATCTCCAAAGCAAGGTGTGATTAGAAGTGGGAACGACCCTGAGAAAGATGGTGCCCCAGGCACCAGCAGGCTGGCCCAGCTACCCAATTCTGCATGAGGCCCAGGCTGGTCCATGATGGAGTCCGGGCAGGATGCTGGCCCTGTCCAGCCAGTAGTGGGGTCATGTCTGTGGGCCACACAGGCTGTGCCAGTCAGCTTCACTCTCGCACCGGGTGTGTCCATGGAAAAACTGCTTGATGAGGCTCTGGGCCTCTTCCTTCACTGCAGATTTGGGGCAGGAGTTTGTAATAAGTAAGGCCCGATCTCCTACTCAAAGAACCCCCGCACCACCTCCCAACCCTGGCCATGATGGTGCTCACCAGTCCTTCCAGGAAAGGTCCTCTGGATCAGCAAGTGTGAGAGATGGCGGGCGAAGCCTTTAAACAACTCCTAGAAGGCAGAGGGGCAACAGAACAGAGTACAGGAACCTGCCCCAAGCCCTGGAGCCACCCACGGCCATGACCAAGGCAGGCCCAGGGAGGGCAGATGCTGGTGTTGGCTGAAGGCTCAGCCTGCTCTGCCCCACTTGGTTCTGGGGCACCCACCCCAACCACCCATTACCCTAAGCCTGGAGAGGGCAAGGCTCCCCTTCTCACCCTACCTTAGATGCAAACTTGCCATCCTTGTAGAAGGGGGTCAGGTATCTGACCACAACATCTGCAGCCTCCTTCAAGGAGATTCCAGGAGCTGACAGCTGGCAGGGGTCTTGGGCCAGGGCATTCAAGGTACCCTGTTCACTGCCCAAGGCACTGCCCCTGACCTCTGCTAAGATGGAGGGCTTGGCTTGGGGGCGAGGTCTCTTTTGAGCCCGACTCCCTGGGTTCTCCTGGACAGGACAACAGTGAGAGGTCACTCTTGGGTTCCCTTTCACTGGTTCCTACCCCTCCTTTTGGAAGACTGTGTCTTAGCACCAGGTGGCTCCCTCTAGCCTGTCCCATCTGCTCCTGGGGTATAGAAAGAAGTAATGGTTTTCCTGAACCCCTGACCAGAACTCCTGGTCTTGTCCACAGGCCTCCTCCATTCCCCCGTGCTTCTTCCTTGATGATACCTGCTGGGATCTGGGCCGCTTGCCCATCTGTGTCTTCTTTGGGGAGATGAGCTGGGCTTCAGGGAACCCCTGGTCTTTGAGAGGGCAGGTGCTGGCCGGAGGGAAGAGCAACATCAGAGCTCCAGGGCCAGGTGCTCCTCAGCCCAACAGATTCATCAGAGCTTCAGAGGCCCAGTTAGTAGAGGGGATGCTGCCAGGCAAAGTCCATAGGACCCCATGACTACTGTGCCCTCACTCCTGCCCTTCCCTATGCCCTTACCTTGGCCCCTCACTGGGACATGCCTCAGTCTGAGGAGGGTCCATCAAATATCCCCGGAGTCCATCTTCTTCCTCTGTGTACTTCTCTGAAGTCATCAGAGGTTCCTGCTTTCTCCCACAGGAGGGGCTGGCACCATCTGCCCTTGGGGCTGTGGTGAGCGGAGGTGGGTTTTCTGCCCTTTGACAGAAGAAGCGGGCAATATTCTGGGAATCCTTTTGGGCTGCTGTGGCCAGGAGCTGCTGCTTCTTGCTGGCCCGGGCTTTGGTGACTGAACTGCTCCTGGAAGAGGCTTTCACCTTCTCAGCAGAGGGCCCTGCACAGTGAGCACTACCTCCAGGGTCTTCTCCTTTGGGCCCAGGGAGGCCCTCACTCACATCCTTATCCTGGATGCCAGAGGGCTGGCTGGGGGGTTCTTGCTCATCTCCCTGCACAGGCTGGGAAGACTCCTGAGTCCGAGACTTCTCCATCAGCTCAGTGGCTGTCTGGAATGGGCAGGAGCCTTTAGGAAAGCCAGCTCCCACCCTCTTGGCTTTGAGCTGTAAGGAAGAAGAGGAAAGGCTCAGACCTCTAGGTCCCCTGGAGGGTACTGTTGATTGCTCTAAGCTATGGCTGTTGGGGTGGGGCTCTCAAGACTGTGGGAGTTGCACAGGACATCATTTGGGAGTCAGGCTGATGGGAGAAGAGGCTGAAGTTGGCAAAAGCACAGCTAGCATAGCAGAGATGTTCCAGGGGACCCAGGGCCAGGGCTGCATCACCAGGAGAGTGCAAGAGGATGTGCTGCTCTACTGAGGGCAAAGAAGTGGGGCCTTTCCTGGGCCTAAGTTTGGGGCGGACACACACCAGAGTGTCACTCACCGAGTACACATGGGAGGCTGGTGGGATGTCATACTCATTGGGCTCTGGGGGCTCAGCCTGGGCACTGCAGCTTTTGGCACCACCTCCCACGTCATAGAGCTGTCCATCCTTGGAGGCTCTGTGGATCTCAGCTACCTGGGCAGGGACAGACAGGGAGGTCATGGTACCTACAGGCTCCTTCTATATTCCCAGCCCAGGTCTTCCTTTCCCATGAGGTACAAGAAGAAATTGGACACTGGACAAGTTGCAGTCCTTTCAGAGTTGGCTAGAAACATCTCCAGCTGGCCCAGAAAGCCAGACTCTCCTCTTATAAATGGCTCTTGGGGCCAGTGGGCTAGCAGATAGCCTGCCCTTTCCTACCCTGATCCAGTGAATGTGCCCTGCCCACCTGCCCCTTGCCCTGGGCCCACCTTCCTCAGCACGCTGGCCTTGTAGAGGTTGGCCATCTTGGCATTCCGGAATGTCTCATATTCTAGCTGCACGGCCTGGGCCTGGAGTTCTGTTCTGAGGGTAGGAATGAACACAAGGCGTCTGGTGGGCCCAAGACCTCTCCCTGGGATCTCCTGCTGGACCCTACACAGAGACTGCAGGGTACCTTCAGGACCTGGTGGGGATAGGCACAGGGATTCCAACCAGGACTTTCTGGGTACCCTATGGCTTACAGGTCTTCAGCAGACACTGGCAGCCCCTAAGTGTGGTCACACCTGCCCCCTGGGGGGGGGCTGTAGGGACTGGGTGACTCTGAAGTAGGACAGGTGTAACGAGGGGCTGCCCAAATGAGCCTGGGGGTGAGGTTTGCCCACAATCTCCTGAGGAACTAGTGCTCAGAGATCTCCTCTGTCCCCAAGGCTGGCTCTTGCTCTGGCCCCATAGATCTCAGGACACTCACCCATTGTTGGAACCTGTGGCTTGGCGGTTGCTGCTCAGAGCCTCCTCCAGGAGACCCAGGCAGTGCTCACGGGCCTGTAGGGAGAGGGGAGTTGTCACCTGGCCTCAGAAGAGAGTCCTGGGGGGCAGGTGAGGACTTGCCCCTTTCTTACCTTCACAGTGAGCCTAGGAATCTTTCTGCTAGAAGCCTCTTTCAGGGGACAATCTTCATCTGGGGAGAGGAAGGATGGGTTCTTCCATTCAACTTCCTGCTCTCTGGAGTCCCTGAAGACCCCAATAAGGCAACCACCATCCAAACCCAGAGCACAGCCCATAAGCCCCTGGAAACATTTCTGTACCAACCTGGGGGTATGAATTCTTCTATCTTGGGGTCTTTGCCCTGGAAGAAGGCATAAAGGGCCTATGAGGCATCCTGCCCTGTTGTAGGACAGTTCCCACCCAGGGCCAGAGAAGGGTGTTAGAGGGTGAAGACAGGACCACCTGGGATGCTGMATGGGTCACTGACTCCCTGCTGAGTCCCCACCTCCTTCACCTTGCGCAGGCTCATCTGCTTCTGATAGAAGAGACTCCATTCCCGCTTGTGGGCCTCATCTCTGCCCTCATCACCACTGCCTCCCGAACCTTCATCATACCTAGGAAAAAGGCTGGTTGTGAGCAACTCAGGACTGAGATTCTGTCCTGACCACTCAGGCTGCTGGTGGAACATGATGTCCTTCATGCCCTGGAAGCTTGGGGCAACACTGAGGTCCAGGCCCCAACCTAGTCCATAGGGCAGGAGGGTAAACCACAGCACTACCATGTCTGGCCTTAGCACCAGGAGAATGAGAGACTATTTCCAATGGGTTGGGGAGCCTCTGGCTTCATGGCTCCTGACCTGCTGAAGCCCCCGTAGCCCCTGCGACCTCCTTCATACAGCTCAGGGTCAAAGCCATTCCCCTGGGAGGGCCTGATGCAGGTCTTGCTCCAGCTGCTGCTGCGCTCCAAGGCGTCCAGCTGTTTCCGCACAGCAGCAGGATTTTGACAGTAGTCGCAGCCTTTGGTGCAGGCAGGCGGAGCATCCCCAAAGTACTTGGCAATGGCAGCATGGCGGCACCTGGAGCAGGCAATACAGAATAGATGAGGGATAAGAGATGAGGACCCAGGCAAGCTAAAATTTGCTCACCCCAGCTCCAAATACTGGCTGAGTGTCGCTGTCCAGCACCACACTTGGCATCTCACACATGCCACCTCATGGGGGCCTCACAAGACATATTTGATTTTGCCCATTGTATAATTGGGGACAGTGAGGGAAGAAGCTTTTCCAAGGTCATATCTATATATGTACCCCAAGAGCAAGGATATAAGCCCTTTTCTGTCTATTATTCCCCTGGCCCCTGGGACCCTATCCTCCAGCAGTAGGTGCCCTTGGAAGAGTTCAGGCTCTGATACAGATGCTGGCTCTGCCACCAAGGCTTTAAAACTTACAGGTTCTCAATAAAATGGTGCAGCAGGACGCTGGCCTCAAGCTGTGTGAGGACTGAGAAGGGATGCTCTGAAGGGCATTAGGATACAATATTACTTCCCACCCTTCTCTGGGTCAGAAGGGGAGGGAATAGTAGGAGAGGGCCCCACTCCAGCCTCAACACTCTGCTCTGCTTGTCTCTTGATGCTTATTCCTTGTGGACCCTGATAAGCCTGTGTCCCAGCCTACTGTACCCAGGCCGAGACTGGGAGCTGCACAAGGCGTTAATTATTGAGAGCTGGCAAGCAGGTGGTTCTGAGGGCCGGCACTGTACCGACTCACTGGTGAACATTCAGCTAAGGAGATGTGGCTTCACTGGAGTCCCCTCCTCACCCCCACTGCCTTGACCCTGTCTTGGCCCTCTTGGGGTAACTGCCCAAGCTAGGAACAGACAGCAGCTTCCATCTGGCCCAGCAGGGTCTATTTCTGCTCCAATCCCCAGACTGAGGCCCCACCAACCCTCAGGCAGGTACAGAGGCCCTGGAAGGAACCATAGCTTTATCAGGGTAGTTACAATAGTCATTCCTGCCATTGAGAAGAAGAGGTAGAAGAGCCCAAAAGGGGATGCTGGAGCAGAGGCAGGGCTGTCTGGGGCACCAATCGCAGGGATAAGACTAGCTGGCGCCAGATGCTCTAACCAGAAGTCTTCTCAAACAGCAGTCTCAAGGAACAAAAGCTGAATGTGACTAGCCCCCAAAGCAGTAGGGTCAGGTCACCCTCTAGCCAAGAGGACACAGCTCTGAAGGTAAATAGGAACAGCCAGACAGCAGAGGTAGCCACCAGAGGGCGCTCTCATGCCCACTCCTGCCAGCCCTGGATGAATATGACACATATTACCTCCACTTGAGTCCCCTTGTCTATACAGTGACTGCCTGTCTGTCTCTGGGAGGCTCAGGCATTCAAGTGGTGTGGCCACAGCGGTTTGCCTCCTCCCTACCCCCCAAGCCCTGACTCACTGGGGTTTTGTGTTCAGATTCAAAGAGCTCCATTGACTGCGGGGCTAGGGTCAGTTTCTCTCCCAGGAGACTGGTCTGCTGGGTGGCACAACCAGCCAAATGTCAGAGGGCCCCAGCCACTGGGCTCTGGAGCCAATCCCTGACAGCTGGGCCAGGAGTCCGCGGGGGAAAGCTAAGCAGAAAGAAATCGGCAGTGTCCTTCCTCTTAAGAAGAGTTCAATGTCCCTCACAGGGCAAGCAGACCACTCCCAGGACACCAGGATTCCCTAAGACTTCCCAAGACACCTCTGGGTGTTGGGTGGCCTGCTGGCAACGCCTGCCTGTTTGCTGGGGTAGCCCAGCAGTCCCTCACTATTTACTTTCTTTCCTCAGAGAGGCCAAAGGGAGGAACAGTGGCTCAAGGTACAAATTGTGGGAGTTGGGGACACAGGCCTGAAAAACACTCCTGAGGGCGGCAGTGGGGAGCCCAAGGGCAGGGAAAACTGCTCCACCCTCTTTCCCTGAGGGCAGAGGATGAGCCCCTGGGTCATCTACTCAGAACTAGAGCCCAGCACCTGTCATCAGCCAACCAGGCCCAGCCCACTGGCTAGAGGGAGGGGAGAGAAGGGGAGGAGGAGGAGGATCCCAAAGCCCACTTCCCCCGCAAGGAAAGCCACTGGGTAGAAGTTGCAGGACAAGCTCCAGAGAGGGTTCCCTCTGGCTCCCCCTGTCGACGGTAATTTGACACTTACATCTCCAGGACAACCAACAACAAAAAAGCCCAGGCTGTCGGACAGCAGCTGGCTGTCAGCCTCAAGGAGGAGCTCCAGGCTCCAGGAGCTCGTGCTGAGGAGTGCCCAGGGGAGCTGCGGCGGGCCAGGGAAACGGTGTGCACGAAAGAGATACGAGGTGGTGGCCAGGGGCCCGAGGGGAGGCACGCAGACACCCTGATCCGGGCACCCTTTCTTGCCTCCCCAACAGCTACGTTCCAGGTAAGTCGTGCTGGCCACAGAGAAGGGGGGAAAGGAAGACAAGGGAACAGCCAGGGTCTCCTGCACTGGGATGGGGGCCACATCTACCACAAACAGGGAGAGGAAAGTCTTGGAACGCGTCTAGTCACCTCCTCACAGGGAAATCCGACGTCTCCTGTGCACCTGAGCTCTCCCTTCCCCTGGGACCTTCGTGAGGGGAGGGTGGGGGACTCTGCCCCAAGCACTGCCCTGCCGCCTGCTGTGCAGCAGAGGGCCCAGGCTGCTGACTCTGCAAGTCAGTTTAAGCTTTTTCTATTCAGTGGGCTCTGGAGAGGGATTTGGCTGCCCCGCCACGCATGCCCGCTGAGCTCCCGTTTTCCCCAGGATTAGGCCCGAGTCCTCCCCTCCTGGGTTCCCCTAGTGGAGGAGGCACAGGGCAGGGTATGTCCAGCCAGTTCACAGCCCCCCGGGGATGCAGCAGGACCTCAAGCAGCTCTGCCCACCTGTGTCCTGGACAAGAACAGCAGCTGCCATCTCTTTTGGAGGTTTGGCCCACTCAATATCAGATGTTCCCACCTAGGGCTTGGCCCAAGGAAGTGTCCCTGGGCCCACTTAGATCCCCAGGAGCCCCCAGATCTCCCTCTGGCAATGAGTTCTGAACACTGAACCACGGCCATGTACACCCGATTCTAAACTCAGCATTGGGCTGGGAGATGGTTATGAAAGATGTGAGGCTGGGGAGGGACCATAGGTATTCAGATCTCTGTGGCACCACAGAGATGCTGTGACCCTGAGACAGATATCTGGTTCTTCAGGCACTTCCTGGGAAGGGCTCCACAAGTAGAGGCTACTTACCCCTCCTGCCTCCCTGTCCTCACATCAGAGTTAAAGTCTCCCACACCCCTAGATGGTTCTTCCCAAAGCAAACAAGTTGGCATCTAGCAAGAAAGAAAAACAATCCAGGGAAAAGTGGAAAGCAAAGATCAGGCCAAGTGTCCTGGGCTTAGGAGAGGCCACGGGCTTTGCCTAGCTTGGAGACTGGAAGCATGTGGCAAAGGGAGGGGACTGGATGGAGGCCAGGGTGTACCTGAGGCATCAGGTCAGGGAAGGGAAGGGCACGATGGTGAGGTGTCTTATCTCTAAGACACCCCAACAGGCAGGTGCCCTACATCCACTGGACACAGGTGGATGAGGTCCTTCTAGCAGTCCAAGCAGGGACAGAAAGTGGATGGCAGGAAGTCCACCTCCTGTCCTGGGAAGCTATGGGGTTGGGGCAATGAAACTGCCAAAGGTTCTAGTGCCTATGTTCTATTTCAAGTCAGAATCAGGGCTGAATGTCCAGCACGGTGCACACCAGGTGTCTCCACTCTGCTGGCCTCTGGACCCTACAAATCTCCCACAACTGTTGGTTATTTCTCACTGGAACCATTTCTCAAACAAGATAATGCCCCACAGGGCAAGGGTGGCTGAAGCCCACCATGACAAAACAACGGGGGCTGAGCAAGAAGGTCCTCGGGGCCCTGAGCCATGGAGCACACTGTGCTTATCAGGTATGCACACACTGCCTCTCCTCCATGGGGCAGCCTGGAGTTGGACTATCAGTTTTCTGAGGAGGAAACAGACAAGCCCTGGTTCCAAGTGGCAGCTGTCTGGCCTGCAGGATGCCAGTCTGTTCCATGGCAAGGCTCTCTCTGCCAGGAGATGCCACACAAAGGCTGTTGTCAAGTCCCTCCAGCATTGCCAGCCTCCCTCTCTGTCCTGCAGGCTGTCAGGACTGAGGCACTAACAAGCTTGGGGGTGGGAGAGGCTCTAGTTCCTCTGGTTCTCAGGCAGGAAGTACAGTTAAAAAAGTTTGGTGAGTCTGAGATAGAAAGACTAAGAAAATACATAATTCTCAACTCCACTTGGCCTCCCTGCCTTCTTCCCCCAAACCTGGGAAGGTAAAGCGGCAAGAGGGGCTAGTCCCAGGGCTCCCACATTCCCCTGGCCACAGCTGGGAACACATGCAGCTCCCTCCAAGATAATGGCTGGGACACATGCCACAGGGTCACCTGACGGCTGCTGGTTATATTGGGCACCAGGCTTCAGGCACTCTGTTGGTCTTGCTTTAAATAGCCCGCTGGGAAGACGCCGGGGACCCGCTGGAATGTGCCTCTTTCCTTTTTTAAGAACAAGACCCTTCAGCTTGCCCCCCACTCTCCTGCCTCTTTCCTGGTGGGCCTGTTCTGCTCAGTCATAGGGCTAAGCTTGAATGGACAAATACCAACAGCCACCCAAAGAGGACCCCAGGTTCTTAGAGGAGAACAACCATGCCCAACAGCCCCACTTCTGTGCACAGTGCAGATGGAATCCTGTGGGCAACCCTGGGTCAGTTTGCTGAGTGAGGATGGCCAAGTCCAGCTGGCTAATTCAGCTCCCAGTTGGCAAGCCATCCACATGCGTGGCCCACCGCTGGTGTGGACCGACCTCTTCCAGAGTGGAGACCAGGCCCTCTAGGCATGAGTCTGCAGCTTCCAACTTCACAAGCCCTGGAGGACACCACCTTGTAGCCCAAGGTCTGATCAACAAACCCTGTCTTCCCTGCAGGGAAGCTTCGGCCTCTCTGTCCCTTCCCTGCCCTGCGTTCTGACTCTCAGATGGACCCRGAGTCCCCACACCACTTCTCACTAACAGCCATCTCTCCCTTCCGCCACAACCTCTCCCTGGGTCTTTGGGTGTGGCATAAAAGAGAGAAAGCTCTCCCTACCCACCCACCTCCTGCCCACTTCCTCTTTTAAGGAGTGGCTCCACTGGGCTACATTAGTCCATGTGGGCAAAGTGCCAATCAGGCTGAAAAGCCAAACCAAGTATAGATGAAGCCGGAGGGGAGGGAAGCAGGACCACTTCTGCGCCATGAGCAAATTATTCCTTTAAGGATGAGATGCCTGGAAACCTGAGGAGTGGTAATGGCACGAAGGTCCCAGAACGGGCGGGGACCCCATCCTGTGCAAGCCTGTCCCACTTGGTCAGAGAAGGGCCTCATTTGGTCTGACCAGAGGGAATGGTACTATGCTCAAGTCAGCAGGGCACTTAAGATCTGTCCTTTTGGAGACAAGTAGTATGTGTGCTCTCAAGAAGCCTGGTATGCCTCAGTCTGAAGGTGACATGGTGGTGAAGTTAGAGCTTCAGGCCCACAAGAGCAGGGCTGACCGTGCAAAGCCCAGGGGCTGCCAGTCGTGGGCAGTGTCCTCACTGGACGGCTGCTGCACTGGCCTAGCTTTCTGCTCAAAGCCTGAGATGGGCCCTCACTGACAGGGCACAGGGCAGGAGGAGCCTGTCCAGTAGTGACCGCAGAGAAGTCACATAGCTCTCAGGTTACCCATATATAAAAGCAAAGAGGTAGGAGTGGGTGACTAGCAGTATCCCAGGATTCTGTGCAGCTTCTTACTGTGCAAACTGGGGTCTGATCTCCTTTGCAGAAATGTGCTAGCCCTGAGGTAAGGCGTGAGAGAAGTCAGGGGATGTAAGCCAGAGAACCTCACACTTCTGACAGGAAGTCACTTTTCCAGGGAGCCATCATATGCCTGCTACCCCCACTGTCACTAAACAACAAGTCCCCTTGTCCAGCTTCCAGACACACCAGAAACATCCCAGAGTAAAGGACAGACAGTCCTGAAAGGCATATCTGGGGAGGGCTAATCGGCAGTGCATGGGGGACAGCTCCTAAGCCAGGAGACCTGCAGCTGCCTCAACTCCCCTTGCAATGGCCAGGCCCCACCCCGAGGGTGTTCATATCCACCATGTATGGCTGGATGGCCAGGGCCCAAGTAGCTGGAAAGGTGGGCATCTTATCTCTGTGTCAATGCAGAGATGAAGTGACCTACCCACGACACAGAGCAAGAGGGGAGGTGGGATGATTGAAACACTGTTCTAAGAGGGTCAGCTGGAAAAACTAGATCAGTTACTGCGGGGAAGGGAAATTCACACCAGCTGCCATCAAGTTCCTGATGGACTGTGCAGGGGAAGAGGGACTCCCTGGAGGAGGGCAGGGGTCTGACCTTCTGTGAGCAGGTGGGCTGCTCCAGCAGGAGAGTCCTTGCCATCAGGTGCTCAACAGGAGGGCAGCAGGCCAAATGCAGATGGAGCACCAGGTCAGATGGCCCACGGTTCTAACCCTGCCTCCAGGCAGCAGTGCTGGGAGTGAGCAGCCCTGTAGCTGGGAGAAACACAGCACGGGTGCTGCCTGTTGGGTTGAGACCAGGAGCAGGGTGGCAATCAGTAGAGCCAATCAGTACATCACAATCCCCTGGCCACCTGATCTACCACATCAGGCCCAGGATTAAAGCAACTGTCTTGGTGAACCGGTTCAGGCTGGCTGGCAAAGGTTGTCCCTGGTCCTTCTCTAAAAAGGCTCTGGCTCCCTTGTGCCCACAGGAGAGGTAGAAGGGGAAAGAATCCCTGATGCACAACAGGCCTCAACTAACAGACTGAACCTGGAAACTCCTTTGGGCCTCTTGGGCACCCTGGACAGGAAGAAGCTCTGAGGTGGGGGTGATGGACAGGCCTCTCTGGTCAGGCCAGAACAGATCCAAACCAACAGGGGAGGGAAGTCCTGATCCCATTCAGAGAGGACCCTTCCCCTGGCAAAAACGGGAGCAGACAGTGCAATCTCTTCCCCTCACATTAGAACAATGTATCAGCAAAAAACTCTGGCTGCTGGGAGTGGGGGGTTCCCAGGGGACTCAAGTTTTATATCCCCCAAACCTCCTCTCCGAAGTGTTCACTACCACTGATCCCAGCCAGAACCCCCATGAACACGTCCTCCTGCCGGGCATGTGATGAAAGGCAAACATAGGCTGGACTCCCAAGGTCCATCTCCCCAGCCAAGGGCACTGGAGAAGGTACCCAAGTCCCAAAGACCCAGGGACTGATAGGGGAGCTGTGCCAGCCAAAGCATCCTGGCCAAGCCTAGTTGTAGTGTCTCAAGGCAAAGGAATGTACAGCAAAGTTGCTCCACCTTGCGGATAGAAACCTTCACCAACTCAGGCCTTGGCTGGCAGCCCCCAAAAGCAGGCTCTTTATGTTACTCATCCCCAGTGTCCCTGATCCAGAGCTGGGCCAGCCAGGTTAGGGCTGAGGGTGGCCACTGAGTGGGCCCCACTAACTCCCGGCTTCCCTCAGAAGCCACCAGGGGCACAGGAGTAAGACCTGACAAACTTGTTCTGCGGGCTGCAGCAGGGGAGAGGGTGGTTTGCTGGTGCTGCCTCAGTGTGCGGCCAGCCCCGCGGAGACTCCAGGCACACTCTTTCTGCCTCAGCGCAGCCCGCAGGAACCCCAGCAGGAGCTGGTGCAGCATGGCAGCCCCTGGCTTTGTGCAGGAGATGCACTCTGTGGGTGAGAGACTGTTGAAGAAGCTGCGAGGGCTGCCCCAGGCCGAGCCCGTGGAGCTTGTGGCCTTCTCCATCCTCGTCCTCTTTACAGGCAAGTGTGGGCACTCACAGTCTCCTTAGCACCCCATGGCTCCTCCTGGCATCTGGGAGAGACCAGAGCATGGTGCTAGCTAGAGAGCTGGTGGGGGTGGAGACTGTCCCCAGATAAGGAGGAAAAGCAGTTGCCCCTTGTGGGAAACCAAGGGATTTCCCCATATCCTCTGACATTGCCCAAGTGATGGGCAATGCTGGGTAGTACTGGGAACGGGGCCCAGGGGCACTGTCAGGTTTCAACCCAGAGATGAAGGGAGCCAAGCTTCGGTGGTGGAAGAGACACCGGGAAGGAGGTCAAGGCTCGGGGCCAGCAAGGGGACGGTCAACATCCTCCGTCAGACCCTCAGGTCTTTCAGACTACTAAACGAGACCTGGGGAAGCCCTAGCATGGGTCCGAGGGCTCCTCTGGAAAGAGGGTGGGCACCCTTGCCTTCCCCACCTTCTCAGGCCCACTCTCCCATCCTGCAGCCACTGTTCTGCTGCTGCTGCTGATAGCCTGCAGCTGCTGCTGCACTCACTGCTGCTGCCCTGAGCGCAGAGGCAGGAAGGTCCAGGTGCGGCCCATGAGCCCCCACTGAGGGACAGCAAGACATGGAAGGAGAAGCTGGAGAGGCTGTCAACCTGGCCCTGTGGCCCTCGCGCCTCCAGACAAGGACCTCCCAGCCCCAGTTCTGGCCCTGTCCTGATGCCAGGACGCTGACACCTGGAGCCTCACCAAGGAAACAAGGGCTGGGACACGCACAAAACTCCACCTGCTAGTGGACACTGGGTGTTGGGGAGGAGTCCACTGCTCAAAGACTGAGGACACCACCTGGGTCTTCTGCTGACCTTCACTTTTTAACAAGGACACAGGAGTCCCCATACTTTGATGGGGACCAGCCCACATCTGTGGGGAGCTGGCCCTTGGGGCTCCACTGATCCATGCCAAAGAGGAACAAGCCAATCAGAGGGACTTTGTGCAATAGCTACTGGATCCCAACCAAGGGGAACATGTCAGTATTCTAGCCTGGTATTTGCCTGTTTATTTCCAAGTAAAAGCTTTTTGGTTATATATTTCTGAGGTTGGCTGCACTCTGTGCATCAGGAGGGCAGAGCTGGAATTCTAGGGGTGTGGCCAGCCATTATTCTTTCCAGGCCACTGCTCTCCCTAAGCCCATGAAAACTGGAAAATCACACAGGGAGGAGTCCCCCTCCACAGCCAAGAAACCAGTGGAGGGACACAGCAACATTCCTGTCACCCAACAGTTAACAAGCAGTGGCTGATGGATACCCAAACTGTGCTAGGCCCGGGAAGGCCACTTAACATTTTCCACTGTCTATAACTTCTGCCTGGACACCCCACACTATCAGGCTTAAACCCCTGGATCCCTAAACTTCTGAGCTCCAAGAAAAGAGGTCAGGTCCCTAGTTTTCTCTACAACTACTTCCCCATTTGTGGGCTCACACCTCACCTGCCACTCACTGGCTATGTGACTCAGCCTCTGAGCCTGTCTCCTCCCTGGTGAAGAAATGGGCTCATCCTGGCACCTGCTTCCTGTGGTGCACCATGAGAATAAACAAAAATGACCTCCGTCTAGCACTTAGCACAGCTGAGCATAGTTCTAAGAGCTCCATAAATACGAACTGACTTATTCTCCCCTCTAGACAAGGGACCAATCCACAGCAACATGGACCCATTTTAAAGAATGGATCTGCTAAAAGGCAATGTCCCTTTCTGCCTCCCTCCAGTTAACTTTCTCTTTGAGAGGTAGAGCTACAAACCCAGAAATGGGGGAGAGAAGGCACATAGATGTGTCTCCCCACATGCCAACGGGGCTGGACCAGAGCATCTGACAGCACCTCCCCACCAGCCCTCTGAAGCCATAAAGGGGTCTGCAATTTCCTGGACCCTTCCATCATCTGGTCTGTGCAGCACACTCCCCAGGTGCCTGAGAGCAGAGCCCTGTCATGGAGAGGGGATGCCAACCCTGTCATCTCTAGCTGGCAATCTAGGCCACACAGGTGGGGGCAGGCAGGGCAGAAGCAGCTCTCACTAGCTGGCTCCACTTTCTGGTCTCCAGGACTCACCTGGCAGGTTTGAGTCAAAGGCCTGGGGAGGAAGGGTTTCCATCCAAAAGAAAAGAAACCCAAGAATCCACCTGTCCCTAGTAGTGTCCAAAGTAAGGGATTCTAAAGAACAACGGCAACACTGAGGTCAGTGACAATGAAGAGCTGGAATCCACTGAGGGCTAGTCCACGCCCAGGAGCTGTCTAAGCATTTCAATGCAGATCAATTCATTTAATCATCACAATACTTTAATGCCTTAGATACCATTATTATCCCCATTTATAGGTGAGTAGGTTGAGCCTCAGTGACACTAGATGTCCAAGCTCAACCAGCTGGAAAGTGGCTGAGCCAGCCTCTGGGTCCAGTCTGTCTGGCTCCAGAGCTCCTGCTCACCACACCCAGGGCTCTGAGGCCTCCCGGATGTAGGACAGATAAGATTCTTATTATCCTCCAGTGAGGATAATAAGAACCCTACTGCCCAAACACCCACACCCAAACTGTCTCAAAATGACCTTCACATGAGTTGGAGGAACCCAACGGGGAAGAGCTGGGGTGGAGCTCAACCAGGTGTCAGAAGAACAACCTCGGGATGGTGGGAGAGAGGGGGAACCCTGCATTTTTCACTCCTAGCACTGCTGGTTGGAGGGTCCTGGGAGCACTTGGTTGGGAAGCAGACCAGTGCTTGCCCGATTCCTCCAGAAAGCAAGGTTTCATTGGCATCAAGAATGGCCCTCCTAAAGAGTGGCTGAGGCTGAGACTCTGCTAGGAAAGCCTCCAGTTCCCAGCCCAGCTGCTGGGAGTCAGGCGCCGTGAACAACCAGGGCACATACAGGTGTCTGGCAAGTCTATGTGCACCCTCCTGTCCCATGGCAGGCAGTACAAAACTGCTGGGTCCAAATATGAGGCTGTCCCTGCCTGCAGAAGACGTGCTCCTCCTGCTCCCTGGTGAACACTGAGCCCCCCAAGCTCTGCTGGGCCAAATGCCACGCAGGCTCCCAGCCCACTCAGGTAAACAAAGCTGCTCCAGCCCAACTCCGGGACACACAGCTCCTAGCACAGGGCGTTCCTGGGGAAGGGGGCTTGGAGAGGAGACAGCTACACCCCCATTGTGGGAAAAATAAACACAAAGACACTTCAGACGCGGGCTGCCTGAAGATGGCTACATATAAGGGAAGGCCATCAGGTTGCCTCAGGCCTAGAGAACATCTGACTGACTCTGGTCACCACCTGTCACTGTTCCATGCCACACTGGACCAAGCCACCAGCAGTGCTTGCCAGGGCCACTGCACAGAGGCCTGTGCAGTTTCCACAGTGATCTCACCAGCCTCCTCATGCCACCCCACTGTGGCCTCTGCTCCACCAGCGTCTGCTCTCGGTTCCTCAGAAAGGCTGCGCTCCACACCAAAGATCTGTGCACTGTGCTGTGGGCGTATTATACCTCATTACAACTACAAAACCTATTGGGCAAGACTCTGGTTAGCAAAATTTGGGAGAGCACAAAAATTATTATCTGCTCAATTATTAACACTTTAAAGCAATCTACAATAAAAATCTTTGTTATGGAACAAATGAGGAACACAAACTGTAATACAAATTTCAGAGCACAACTGAGGACAGATGAATTTCATCCTTAAAAACATTCCCTCGCTCTCCTGCTCCGTGCCACACAACACTGACCCTAGCTCTGTCTCCAGTCTTTGTGTCTTAATTTATGCACTGCTTCCTCACAGGAGAGCAGGCCGAGCAACTGAGCTTCAGCACCCTCTCTCCTCCCCATCAGCTCATGCTCTTCACATCAACATGCCAGAAGAATTATGCACCTGTGGACAGCAGACACATTGTCTACACGTCTCATCTTTTTAAATTTTTTTGGTTTTATTTTTTAGTTGTTGATAGACGTTTGTTTTATTTATATGTGGTGCTGAGAATCAAACCCAGTGCCTCACACATGCCAGGCAAGTGCACTACCACTGAGCCACAGTCCCAGCACCTACACATCTCATTTTAAATTGAGAAAGCCCACACATTTCCTGGCTAATCTTTCTGGGGTAGGGCGAGGGTCTTTTCTCTAAATGTAGGCTGGCTGACTAGAGTTCTTGTGGTATCTATTTTGTAGTTTTGATTTAATTACAGCAGGCCAAGATGGGCTGGGGATGCAGCTCAGTGGTAAAGCACTTGCTCAGTATGCACAAGGCCCTGGGTTCCAGCCCTAGCAACACCCCCCCCACACACAAACACACACACACACACACACACACACACACACAGTTTGGAGTAGAACAAGAACTTAGGCTTTGCAAAGGAATCTGAGTGTGAAAGTCCACTGAATTTTTATAATGTTCCTATTTAGTTATCATGTCTGCATCTTTTTTGACAGGAATATAATCCCAGTGATTCCAAGGGGTCACGCAGGTACCTGTAGAAATAACTTCTTTCTCTACTTACTCTGAGGCACAATGTAGTATCTCAGAGCTCAGATTCTGTACAGCTAGTTCACAACTATAACTAGCTGGCAGTCCCAGCCCCAGGGCTCCCAGCTCTGGGCAGGTTCTTTCTGTGGACAGGTCATCTAAACCATAGTTACTAATTGTATGACCTTGAGTAAGTTACTGAACTTCTCTGTGCCTGTGTCCCATCTACAAAACTAGACTTTTAGGTGGGTGTGAAATCCCAGCTATTAAGGAGGTTGAGGCAGGAGAATGGCAAGTTTGATGCCATCCTGGGCAACTTAGCAAGACCCTGTCTCAAAATAAAAATAGAAAAGGGCTGGGGAAGCTCAAAGGTAAAATGCCCCTGAGTTCAATCCCCAGTACCCCCCACCCAATAATGAATAAAATTTTTAAAAACTGGTATATTAGTTATCATTGTTGCTTCATTTGCTTATGTTACATTCGATTATGTAACTATAACAACAAGTTCAACTGCCACAAACCAGTCTGGGGACAAACAACTGACTCTTGATAAGACCCTGGCTTGACTGGTGGAGCTGAAGTACCAGGGTGTGCCAGAGACCAGCCTGCTGGCTGTGCGCTCCACATGCCAGGGACATGAGTCAGCAAGTTCTCCACAAGGAAGTGGAAAGCTTCAGGCAGGCCAGGTCCACGCAGCTCACGACAGTTAAGAAGGCTTTTTTTTTTTTTTTTTTTTTTTTAGAATTTTTTAATATTTATTTTTTAGTTTCCGGTGGAAACAACATCTTTGTATGTGGTGCTGAGGATCGAACCTGGGCTGCACGCATGCCAGGCGAGCGTGCTACCACTTGAGCCACATCCCCAGCCCCAGTTTAAGAAGGCTTTGTTGCACTTGTTCATCTGTCAGCCACCTGGCTACACCTGGGAGAGGTTTAAAACAACACAGCACCCTGCCATCCCAAAGACTGATGTGCGGGGCCTGGGCGTTTCTAGAGATCCTAGTGACTGTCACAAGCAGGGTTGAGGACCTATGGGCTGGAAGATAAGCTCTCAAAGGGCCAGCCCCACTCTTCCTGTCTCAGTGGCTGGTCACAAAAGGCCCACCCATCCTAGCTTTTAAAGCAGTTAAGGGTGGCCATGAGGTTTTGGGCTTTGTTCCCTTTTCCTAGCTTCCCGATCACACCAATGGGTAGCAACCAGCCACTCAGCAGCCAAGGCCTGGCCTGAGAGGCAACAGGCACCATCAAGAAGTGAGGCCTCCACAGTGCTCCCCGCCCCAGACTCCCTTCAGAAGCTGCAGTTAATCATTTACCACATTCCTGGAAATAAGGACTGGGTGGCAGTCCCAGCCCCAGGGCTCCCAGCTCTGGGCAGGTTCTCTCTGTGGACAGGTCATCTAAACCAAGCCAAGACCCTGCTCTATACAGGTAAGATGGGTGGGTGGCCTGGGGTACAGGCCCCGGGTTCAGTCTCCTCCCCCACTCCACTCCAAGTCTGACTGCTCTCAGGGAGCACTTCTGAACAGCTGCCCACAGTACCCCAACAGTACCCCACAGTACCCCACAGTGACATCACAAAAGGCAAGATGCAGCTGAGAGGAGTGTGAAAGGCAGAAAGGGAGTGGTCATTGCCAGGCAACCAGCCCCAGCCCACCGCTGTTTGTTCTGGTGGCAGCAATGCAGGTCTGGTCAGGGCTGCTAGTCAATACTAACGCCTTCCCCCCAAAAAAGTTGCTTCCTTGAATCAGGGTGAAGCTCTGGTCACCTGGCAGTCTCTTCACTCAGGGCCCCCCAAAGCCTGGGGCTTGAAGGACAACCTTGATTTGCCCTCATAGGTCACAAGACAGTAGCAACAGCAGGTAATGACTCTTTCCTTTCTCCTCTCTACTCCCTTCAGCTAAGGGCTCACAGCTCTCCAAACACTGGTTCCATTTCAAAAAGATATTTAGATTTCCTATTTTCAGGGGCCCCCAGGGACTTTACTGAAGCCTGAGCCACTTCTTGGCTCTTGTCCTTTTTTTTTTTTTTTTTTTTTTTGAGACAGGGTATTACTCTGTTGGCTAGGCTGGCCTCCAACTCATAGGCTCAAGTGATCCTCCTGCTGCAGCCTCCTGAGAACTGGGACTATAGGAGCACACCACAGCACATCAGTTGGCTCCTATGCGGTTGTTCTCAAAATGCCTCCCAAATGTTTAGCAATTGGGGCAGGAAAAGTTAGGGAGGACGCATAGCAGTGCTTTTTAGCTCTGAGTTGAGTAGGCCTCGGATAGAACGAATGTCCTGGCTCATATCAGAGCTATTCAGGAGAGAACGGGAGGCTCCGGGGCAGCCTCTGGGAAGAATGCAGGGCCCTCTCTACAAAGGGGGAAACTCCATTTGTTGCTTGCGGGAGACTTGGAGCTCAGAGACTCACCATTTCTTCAGTGACCACACATGGCCAGCTATTCCCTGCAGCTGCTACTTAGTGTGAAGGTTGGGAGTGGAGAGTAGCACCTGAGACAGGACCTTGAGGGTCCAAACTCACAGCCTCCGTCTTTTCTTTTCCAGGTTTATATGGACCAAGCGGCAATCCAGAAGACCGTCTGGCATGATGAGTTTTGGGAGAACCCCTGGGAGCTGGGGGGCCTGATAGTGATTGGTTTATTCATCTCCACAGTCCTGTTTTTCTTCATGTTTGCTGTTGTATTTGGTTTAATCCCTCCACTGGAGAAGACAGAATATGAAGAGGATTGATGTGACTTCCTGGGGGCCAAGAAGACGAGAGGTGGGCTCCTCTGCTTCTCCCATACTCCTCTGTGGTCCCCTCAGACTCAGGGCCCAGTCGTCTTTTCTCACCAGGAAAAAAAAAATCTAGTCAAACACTGGGTCTGCCTTAGGGTTGGTCAGATAGCAAGATGGGGAGGTTGGTCTGATACTGGTCATGCAGAGGTCTTCTCCTCTGTCCTCAGGTGAGAGAAGTAATGGATAAGAAGGTCCCCCAATAGATTCCCAGCCCAGCCAGCAACTTGAAGAGGACACACATATACACACACACACACCAAAAACCAAAACAAAACAAACCAAATGAAGTAAAAAATTCCTTTTCAAATCTGTTAACTTGTAGGAGTTCATTTTCTATCTAGATGTGGTCACCAGAAGAAGCCAGCAAAGCCTTACTGGGACCTGCAACTCTCCCTGTGGTCTGGCCCTGCCTGTCCGACCAGCCATCTGGCACATGCCCCTAGGTTCTTGGAGCAAGTTTCAATTCCTGAAAAAGCCCTGTTCTGTCCTGCCACAGACCCTTGCACATGCCATCCCCCTTGACTGGTGTGCACCACCAACACTACACTTGCTCAGCTAGTGCTTCCTCACCCTTTAGATCTCAGTCTAAACCTGACTCCTCAGGTAAATTTCTCCTGACTCTCTGGACTAGGGTAGGGTACCTGCTATATACTATCAAAACACCATTTATCTTTTTTTTTTCAGAGCCCTTTTAACAGAAATCGTACATTTTTATTGTTTTGTTCTGTTCTGTGGTACTGGATACTAGACCCAGGACCTTGGACATACTAGGCAAGTCCTCTATCACTGAGCAACCTAAGCCTTTTCTATTTTATTTTGAGACAGGATCTTAGTAGGTTTCCCAGGCTGGCTTCAAACTTGTGATTCTCCTGCCTCAGCCACCCAAGTAGTTGGGATTGCAGGTGTACACTACCATTATCTGGCAAGAATCATCAGTTACCTGACAAATGCCTGTCTTTCCCATGGAAACTGAGCACCACAGAAGCAGGAGATGGGTCTCTTTCTGTCACCATTTTATTCCCATGGCCAGTATGCCTGGCACAGCTGATATCAATCAATATTGGTTGGTTGAACACATGAGTGAATGAGCACATGAGTGGATAAACAGGAAGATACTGGGTTTCTGTGCTCCCCAGCTCGGAGACCACAAGAGACAGTTCAGCTCAGGCCTAAACATAGAGCCTGTTCTTCTATCTCAAGGTACTGAGGCCGCGAGGCCAGAGGTTGCTTCATGCCTTATAACTGTTCCCAGAAGACTAAAACACAAAAAACCCTGTCATGAATAATGCTTTTCCATGGCTACAGCCCAGAGAAAACAGCTACATGCAGAGATGAGAGGAACACTGCTGGGTGCCACAACCTGGCCTCATTCCCAACTGACCTGAGTCCCTTTTCTGTTGGTCCCAGACCCTCCCACCCAGTGCTACTCACAGGGTGCCACCTCGACATGCCCAAACATCTACAACAGCTTTCTTTTAGAAATGTTCTGACCTTAGCAAACCCACTGCACTGGTCTATCCTCTCACTGCCAGGTGCCCGCCCTGAGGGAGTGCTGGCAGGAAAAGCTGCCTCACCTCGACCTCAAACCAGAATTATTCTTAGAAAAGGAGCAAATATAGGGTGGAAAGGAGCTTTTTCTTCATGTTCTGCCCCATTTTATAATAAACATTCCCTTTTATTCAAAGAGCTGTGGTCCTACAGACATGCCAGGGGTTTTATTCCAGCCTGAAAGCCCTGGGATCCAGAACCCTCACACACAGAAAACAAGACACAAGTACAAGGCTGTGCACAAAGCCCAGGAGGCCTTCAGCTGGACTCCCTGGGCCCATGGATGCCTGGGCCCCTGCCCCCAGCTGGCCTATTGACACACTCAGAAACCCCAGCTCTTGAAATGAGATGAAATAGAAGTAGAGGCCTCAAAGAGGATCGTCTCCCTGCCTGGCAGGTTCTAACCCCCAGAGCCTCAAATAAGAACCAGCCAAGGTGCCTCCAGCAGAGGGGGCTCTGACAATTAGCAAGAACACTCGGTGGTCCTTTTATTCCTCACCAGAAATGAGGGGTCTGCTCAAGGAGCCCAAGAAGGCTGAATTTAGCAATCCCCAAACCAGTGCCAGAAAAGGGTTCTGGTGGCGAGGGCCAAAGGCAAGGGTGGGCCTGGCACTGCAGTCTACCACTTTTGCTGGGTGTGGTCCTGCCACAGAGACCAAATGAGAGATGGTCATTTCCAGAAGGAGCCACCAACTCATGTGAGTAGGACAGAGATGGGAATGCAAAGACAGTGCCTAAGGAAGTGTCTCCCTGGTTTCCAGAAGACAGCCCAAAACATCTGTTTCACACTGGTACTATGTACCTCTACACAGAACCTTGTCTCAAGACTCTAGTCTTGAGTAATACAGCACTCGCTTAGCATGCACAAGGCCCTGGATTTCATCCCCAGCACTATAAAAACAGGCAAGCAAGCTAACAAAAAGAAGACACTATGCTTACAAAAACCAAGATGGCATAGGTATATGAAATGAGCACTCCATTGACAATTAGGAGGCACAAATTTAGTGGCTTCTGTCTACCTTGAGCTTTATGATTGTGACCTCTCCAGAGCTTGGTTTATTCATCTGTATCTGAGGCAATCATGTCTGCTGTCCTCCCAGAACTGTTCCATGAGATCAGACAAATCTGAGAGCTTTTTAGACCAAGTATACAGAGTCCTTTGGGGTGTCCCTCACAGGGGGCACTAACAACTACATGTGTCCAGCCACAATCATGACACCCTGCCCAATCCCCACAGATGAAGACAAAGGAGACACGTGGGGTCCATGTGGGCTGGCTGGCTATTAGAAAGGGTGATTTCTCTAAAGCACATGATGCCTCCTGGCCCAAAAGATAAGAGGGTCACATGCTTCTGTTTGGGACATAGATAAGAGTGGATACTTGGAGTAAAGCAAAAGACCCAGCTCAGTGGCATGTGATGACCATAATGCCAATGGCTCGGGGCTGGCCACATAAAGTCAGTCATCCTAGAAGGGAGTAGAATGGAAAGGTGGATGACCACCTAAAATGCTAAACAAATCCTCAAACTGCCAGAGTGGCTGGGGCCTCCAGAAGAGAAGAGAAAGGGTCCTGAAGAAGGGTCCTCAATACAAAACCCAATGATCTTTGTCCCTTGGTGGACAAAAGGCTGTTTTATGTTAGCTGGTCAGATAATGGCTGCTGGGGGAGGAAATGATCTGACATTTTGCTCCATAAATAAAATAAGTCACTTACCCCAGTTCTTCACAGAAGGTCACCAGGGCCTCAAAAGCCAAAAGGGTGGCTTTGTCAGAGGCTTTGTTCCCTCTCTTTTCCTGGAGACAGAAAATGACCACTAAAAGTCAGAGTTAGACTACATTGTCACTACAAAAATTAATGAGGGAGAAAACTATTACAGGACAATAATAAATCCATTTACTAAATGGTATCCCCAAACCTGTGTGTACATCAAAATCCCTAGGCTAATGAATCAAACTCTCTGGGACAGAAGCCTTAATATTTGGAAATATTTTATACTTCCAAAAAGCTCCCCACGTGATTCTCATGCAAAGGGCCCTGGACTGCCATGTGGGAAGCATGATATGATCTGACTTCATATAAGTCCTTATATGGTGTGACCCTACCTGCTAATGTATATACAGAGGCTTAACACACAAAAAGTTAATGGGGGCGGGGGGGCTGGGGTTGTGGCTCAGTGGCAGAGTGCTCGCTTAGCATGTGCGAGGCACTGGGTTCAATTCTCAGCACCACATAAAAAAATAAATAAAATATTGTGTCCAACTACAACTAAAAAAACAAAACTAAAAAAAAAAAGGTTAACAGTTGTTATTTTTGAGTGATGGGTATGCACCACTGGCCTTTTTAATACACAGCTATTCATTAAAAATTTCCTTTTAAAAAATTGTCAACTTGGGGCTGGAACTGTGGCTCAGCGGTAGAGCGCTCGCCTAGTGCGGGCGGGACCCGGGTTCAATCCTTAGCACCACATAAAAATAAAGGCATTATGTAGAGTCCATCTACACCAAAAAAAAAAAAAAAAAAAAAAAGAAAGAAAGAAAATTGTCAACTTAAAAGAAATACAGAAAAGTGAAGAAAATATGACATGATACCTGAGACATTACCTACTGACTTACTGCATTTAGGTGGCCCCTCCCCCTGATATAGATGAATGCACATACTTCTTCACCTACAATCTCTCAATGTGTTTCAACTGCAATTTCTTATCACATTGATATTTTCCTCATTATAACTCTGTCAACACTACTTCAAGCTAAACCATGGAATTGTATTTCCCATGGTCAGGTTTTCTTTTTTATAACTCTGTTTTCCCTGAAATAGTTGCTTTGTTTGTTCCATTTGCCTAGATTTCAGGATGTCACTAATTCACCCTCAAATGTTTTGACATAATAAGGAATTCATCTGAATTGGAGCTGGACATGCAGGTTCCACTTTAATTTTTGGAAACTTCCTTCCTAGAACCTTCCATCCCCCAGTTTCATCTGCATGATTTTTTGTAGGCCTGTGCCCAGCTGTCTTTCTGACTCCCACTGAACATTGTCCCTTTGTCTTGCTCCTCAGTCACATCTCCATTTGCCTCTCCAAGTTTACTACCTCTTTATGATGGAGAGCATCCCTTACTAGCCAGACATGACACAGAGGAAATTTTTTGAAACCCTGCATCTGAAAATGTCTTTATCTTCATGCTTAACTGGTGGACTGGGTAGAAAATTCTAGGTTAGAAATTGTTTAGAATTTTGTAGGGGAGGAGGACAGGTACTGGGGATTAAACCCAGAGTGCTTTACCACTAGCTATATGCCTAGACCTTTTTTGTATTTTTATTTTGAGACAGAACCTCACTAAGTTGATGAGGTGGGGTTTGAACTTGAGATTCTCCTGCCTCAGCCTTCCAAGTCCCTGGGATTACAGGAATGTGCCACCACATGGGCC